TTTTCAAAATTGTATAAAGATGTCCTTTTCAGGAAGTCTCAAACCAACCATATAATTTACTGGCTAGTGTGTGGTTTTATTAGGAAATTTTATATTCAGAAGTTTGCCATCGCTTTCAGTTCAGCAGGATGAGAAGACTGCTGTCAAAATCGATGCAAAGAAGTCTGGGTATGCTGGGATTGAGAAACTGCATTCCCAGCCTCAGAAGTTATGGATTTCAGCATTTTTAAACTACAAACAAATTACTGAGATGTGGTTCTTGAGAAGAATGTTGCAAATATCTTGGACTGCCAGAATAACTAACAACAAAAATGGCTAATGAAAGTAGAACATTATATACAACAATGAAAAGGAGACAAACACAGTTCTTTGACCATGTGATGAGAAAACGAGCCTTGGAAAATATCTCGTGATGACTGGAAAGATCACTGGCAGAAGAGGCAGAGGCAGACCAAGAGATATGATAGTGGGTAGCTTAAGATGGTCACATGAAGGAATATCATCAGTGGACTTGATCCAGAACGCCAAAGAAAATACTGAGAGCTGTGGAAATGCATAAACGCCTCAAACACCTGCTGGTAAGGCACTTGATGATGATACAAATAACATAGGCCCCTCATAATAGAACGATAATTCATTTCCTACCTTCTGTATGTTTCTTATTATGTCTTGCATCCCAACAAGTTCACCATAATTGACTCCATTTAACTTGTGTGGAAAAACAAAAATGAGAAAAAGAAATAAATATAGATCTGTATATTATAAGACAAAAACAAACCTTTGGAGGTGGTGCAGGCAAGGGATTTATCTGTAAAGGTCTGAAAATAGATCAATTTAAAAAATGACTTAAATTTTTTTGTCACAGTCAAATATAACATACTTGTAAAGTTCTACACTCCCTTTATAGTCTGTTTCCCTTATACAACACCACACTAAAAAGTTAGTTGCATATCCTTTACAGGACGTTGCAGAACCAACCCCATTATTTTTTTGGCTGTTGTGGTTTTTGTATGCAAATTTTATATTCAGTAGTTTGTCATTGCTTTCTGAGGGGTCAGCTCTTGGTACCTCTGCTGATACCAATGTACGATAAATTTACCACAGCTGGGATTGAACTCAGCACCCCGGCATTACAAAGTGCACTTACAACGCTAAGCCACAGATGCCAACAACACTACACTATAAAGGAAAGATTTGTGCAACGATGGCCAAAAGTTTAAGACCACCTAGTTTATAAGTGGTATTTTCCCACCATTGTGTATTTCATTACCTGCTATTTAAAGGAAGAATAATGACTATGATTGCCTTTAGTCTCACCTTATTACATATAACAGTAGTGGATGCAACACATGTAACAGTGCGGAAAACCAAGTTAAACCTACAGTGTCTTCTTGACTTATGACTAAGATCTGTTCCAACTAACAGTTCATAGGTCGAATTTGAATTTCACAACACTACTTTCATTGAACAGGACACTGAAGACGCACTGGCTGTGAAAGTACATAGGGTTGGAAAAATGGTTAGAGAAAGAGAGACATACTGAGAGGCATACTGTGACGAGAGTGACGTTCTGTAAAGGACCTGCTGATTGATTTTCATTGAGACAGGTCATAAGAATTGTACATAAACATAGGCAGTGGCTGGCCTGTGGTTGTAAACAGTCTGCCATACGCAGTAGGGTCAAGCAGATGCTGATGACTAGGCCTGCTGTGTTCTTGGCATCAGTTCTGGGGATTTTTTAACCCTAAAATATGTATTTATCTCTCTATTTTTTAATGTTTTTTTTTTATTTTTTTTTTTTTATTTATTTACTTTTTATGGTTGTAAGTGTAGAGGGTTGTAAGTCCCATAGATGATAAGTCAATGAGTAGGTTACTTACTGTGTTGTCTTAAACTTTTGGCCAACATTGTAAATAGTTTTAAATTTCCACAAAAAACTAGGAACTCTCATGCTCATAGGGACTTCTCAAGCAGATAGGAGTTCAAAACAGAATATCTGGATAAATCAGTGTGTTTTGGTATGTGCCAACTCAAATAATTCAGTAAATGCAGGTAGCTCAGTTGCACTTATTATGAAAGATTAACCTTTACATCCTAATTCTGATTAGTCAAAATAACAGTTAAATTAATAAAGGAATATGCTGAAATGTTTAATGCAGTAAGAATAATTGTGAACATATCACGGCTATGCTACGGGAATTATTGAAATGAATGTTTAAAACGTAAGTATTATTGATTTCATCTACTATGTTGTCTGAGACAAGGCCACTGGCAGTTCTTGGGATAAAGAAACAAAATAACAGTAAAAATGAATTGTCAGCTCAAAAGATGTGTATGTAACACAGCAACAACAACAACAAACGAGAAAAAAAAAACAATAATTAAACCAAAATTTGTACAATGACACAACAGATTAGACAGTGCAGTGATAATATATTAAACATAATAAACATTCAACTAATGTTTACACTTTAAAATCAGTTAGATCTGAATGTAATTCTTTAATATCAGATGCAAAGAAATATGCTAACAATTACAAAGTTATAAACCAAAATAGAATAAAACAATGACAATATTTACATTTAACAATTATAATTGAAGTGGAAGACTTAATAATCAAAATAAGGGAGTTACAGAATCTCGTTTTTTTTTTAATTTGAGGTCACCGGGGTAAAAGGTTAATTTTGTAAGCCACAGTGGCATGGCTTCTAGCTGCTCGCTGCCGGTCTAGAGATCTTGCGTATGAGCTTCCCACTAATATCTGGTAAATTTCATCCACAGACGTAAACTTACGCATATATGCATGATAATGATCAGTTAGTTAGTTAGTTAGTTGGGTTATCCTCATTGCACTCCGGACATGTCCATAGGTGCTCAGATCCTCCCCTCAGTATGAACCCCAACGTCCGATGGCTAATAGTACCAGTTCTATGTTGATTAACAAGTCTTCTGGCGTGTCTGGTGTGCGTCTCGTTTTTAGCTGTGCCGATCTTAATTCCTAAGTCTGCCATTCTGGCGAGTGATGTGGATTCACTGCCACCAAAGTCCTCTATCCTTCCCATTTCTCTGAGGGCATTGATAATATCAGCATGATATGATAATGATCAGTTTTAGATTAATACACGTCTGACATCTGATTAATAGCATTCCTTTACAGATTTGTACTCATGCATGCCTGTGTGATATCATACATTTATAGATTAGTACTCTTGCATGCCTGTGTGATATCATTCATTTATAGACAAGTACTCTTGCATGCGTATGTGATAGCATTCATTTATAGACTAGTACTCTTGCACGCCTGTGTGATAGCATTTATTTATAGACCTGTACTCTTACAAACCTGTGTGATAGCATGCATTTATAGACAAGTACTCTGGCATGCCTGTGTGATATCACTCATTTACAGGCTAGTACTCTTGCACGCCTGTGTGATATCACTCATTTATAGACTGGTACTCTCACATGTGTGTGTATACTCTTACACGCCTGTGTGATATCACTCATTTATGGACTGGTACTCTTGCATGTGTGTGTGATATCACTCATTTATAGACTAGTACTCTTGCAAGTATGTGTGATATCACTCATTTATAGACTAGTGCTCTTGCATGTATGTGTGATATCACTCATTCATTGACTAGTGCTCTTGCATGTGTGTGTGACATTATTCAGTGACAGACTAGTACTCTTGTAAATGATAGAAATCATTTATACATTCGCACCCTTTACGCATTAGGCTGTTAAGGCCATTCATTAATAAAACAGTATTTCTGCATATGAGTATGATAGATTTTTTATAGTTTAACACTCTCCCCTCTTTGTCAGGTAACAAATATATGTAAAAAAAAAAAAAAAACTGATGATAAATTTCAACCAAAACGTTTCTCTTAGTAACAGAAAAGCACACAATTATAAAAGAAAGCAACTAACAATAAAAATGACTTCTATAAGGAGAAATGTCATCGGACTGACCGATGGTCAACCCCACAGGACCGTATGATGAGTGATAAACACCCAGTGACACAAAATGCCATCATTCAGATGAGAACCACAAGGGCGCAAGTACCAGAAACAGAGTTCGACCTGTAGCGCCTCTGATGACAGCTGGGATGGGGGTTTTTTATAACAAGTGTCACCAAATATCCAAAACCAACATAAAACACTACATCTACCACTAGCCTGCAATGTTATTAACCCTTCCACCTCAGTAACCCTTCAGAAAAAAATTAAGAACCTGGAAATTCCTGGACAAAATTCCTTTTAAATTACACAGGTCACTGATAATGTTTTTAAAAAAAAGCACATTTTTTTCTCTTAGGCTTAAAAATATAATTCAAAGGGTGACCGACTCATACCTTGACCTTTGACCCTGATTAAAGAGGAATTATTATGTCAAAATGACATCATTAAAATCATATTTGGGGCTCCTAATCACTGTACGGGTGCTAACATAATCTATTGCCTTAACTAGGATTTCCAGGAGCAGCTAAAGCAGCAATGCAGTTTTAGCAGCTACTAAGGCATGAGTAGCAAATGGTGATACATTACTTTTTTTTGGCGCCATAGGGTTAAAATCAATATAAATAAAGCCACTAAGTTTTACCAAAGTAAACAATAAATTCACTACAACAAATGCAATACTGCTAATGCAAAAACAAATTATAATCCCATTCTAGTAAATAAACAGACATGCAAAGCAACCAAAAAGAAATGAAAAAACCCAACAATGCTTAACTAACAAAATTACAGAGCAATAATACTTTCCAGAGTTGATTATTTCACACATTAAGTGTGTCTGCTTGAGTTAAAACTGTAATGCTACATCTGCTCAAATTAAATCATTAATTATGGTACCCCTGAGACTTTAGTTTTTATAAAAGGCAAATCCTAATAAAACAAAAGGACTAAATAAAAACTAAGGTGGCTAACAGGATATCCAAAAAATGGCTATAACACTGGGAAATATCAACGTCCATGCAGCTAAGTCCATAGCTTACTTTTCACAAGATGTCAGACCATCCTCTAAATATAAACTACTCCGATGGCCTCTGAAAAATAAGTGATACTAGTGATTTTTTTTCTCTCTATCTCTTCAAATGAAGGATCAGAGGGTGTGATATTTTGCTATATGGAAGTGGCTATATGAATGAGTGGTGGGTGAGATGCTATGACAGACTAAAGAGTTGACAACATAAGATAAGCAGCTTTTATATGTAAAAGACTGATGAGATACAGTGACAAGCTAAAACAGTCAGTGACATATAAAGCTGTCTTACATAGAAGACTGGTGAGATAGAGTGAGTGACAAGCTAAAACAGTCAGTGACATATAAAGCTGTCTTACATAGAAGACTGGTAAGATAGAGTGAGTTACAAGCTAAATAGTCAGTGACATATAAAGCTGTTTTACATAGAAGACTGACAAGATAGAGTGAGTGACAAGCTAAAACAGTCAGTGACATATAGAGCTGTCTTACATAGAAGACTGACAAGATAAAGTGAGTGACAAGCTAAAACAGTCAGTGACATATAGAGCTGTCTTAGATGGAACACTAATGAGATAGAGTGAGTGACAAGCTAAAACAGTCAGTGACATATAGAGCAGTCTTAGATGGAAGACTGGTTAGATAGAGTGAGTGACAAGCTAAAACAGTCAGTGACATATAGAGCTGTCTTAGATGGAAGACTAATGAGATAAAGTGAGTGACAAGCTAAAACAGTCAGTGACATATACAGCTGTCTTAGATGGAAGACTGGTGAGATAGAGTGAGTGACAAGCTAAAACAGTCAGTGACATATAGAGCTGTCTTAGATGGAAGACTGGTGAGACAGAGTGAGTGACAAGCTAAAACAGTCAGTGACATATACAACTGTCTTACATGGAAGACAGGTGAGATAGAGAAAGTGACAAGCTAAAACAGTCAGTGACGTATAGAGCTGTCTTGGATGGAAGACTGGTGAGATAAAGTGAGTGACAAGCTAAAACAGTCAGTGACATATAGAGCTGTCTTAGATGGAAGACTGGTGAGCTAGAGTGAGTGACAAGCTAAAACAGTCAGTGACATATACAACTGTCTTAGATGGAAGACTGGTGAGATAGAGTGAGTGACAAGCTAAAACAGTCAGTGACATATAGAGCTGTCTTAGATGGAAGACTTGTGAGATAGAGTGAGTGAAAAGCTAAAACAGTCAGTGACATATAGAGCTGTCTTAGATGGAAGACTGGTGAGATAGAGTGAGTGACAAGCTAAAACAGTCAGTGACATATACAACTGTCTTAGATGGAAGACTGGTGAGATAGAGTGAGTGACAAGCTAAAACAGTCAGTGACATATAGAGCTGTCTTAGATGGAAGACTGGTGAGATAGAGTGAGTTACAAACTAAATAGTCAGTGACATATAAAGCTGTTTTACATAGAAGACTGACAAGATAGAGTGAGTGACAAGCTAAAACAGTCAGTGACATATAGAGCTGTCTTACATAGAAGACTGACAAGATAAAGTGAGTGACAAGCTAAAACAGTCAGTGACATATAGAGCTGTCTTAGATGGAACACTAATGAGATAGAGTGAGTGACAAGCTAAAACAGTCAGTGACATATAGAGCAGTCTTAGATGGAAGACTGGTGAGATAGAGTGAGTGACAAGCTAAAACAGTCAGTGACATATAGAGCTGTCTTAGATGGAAGACTAATGAGATAAAGTGAGTGACAAGCTAAAACAGTCAGTGACATATACAGCTGTCTTAGATGGAAGACTGGTGAGATAGAGTGAGTGACAAGCTAAAACAGTCAGTGACATATAGAGCTGTCTTAGATGGAAGACTGGTGAGACAGAGTGAGTGACAAGCTAAAACAGTCAGTGACATATAGAGCTGTCTTACATGGAAGACAGGTGAGATAGAGAAAGTGACAAGCTAAAACAGTCAGTGACGTATAGAGCTGTCTTGGATGGAAGACTGGTGAGATAAAGTAAGTGACAAGCTAAAACAGTCAGTGACATATAGAGCTGTCTTAGATGGAAGACTGGTGAGCTAGAGTGAGTGACAAGCTAAAACAGTCAGTGACATATACAACTGTCTTAGATGGAAGACTGGTGAGATAGAGTGAGTGACAAGCTAAAACAGTCAGTGACATATAGAGCTGTCTTAGATGGAAGACTTGTGAGATAGAGTGAGTGAAAAGCTAAAACAGTCAGTGACATATAGAGCTGTCTTAGATGGAAGACTGGTGAGATAGAGTGAGTGACAAGCTAAAACAGTCAGTGACATATACAACTGTCTTAGATGGAAGACTGGTGAGATAGAGTGAGTGACAAGCTAAAACAGTCAGTGACATATAGAGCTGTCTTAGATGGAAGACTGGTGAGATAGAGTGAGTGACAAGCTAAAACAGTCTGTGACATATAGAGCTATCTTAGATGGAAGACTGGTGAGATAAAGTGAGTGACAAGCTAAAACAGTCAGTGACGTATAGGGCTGTCTTAGATGGAAGACTTGTGAGATAGAGTGTGACAAGCTAAAACAGTCAGTGACATATAGAGCTGTCTTACATAGAAGACAGGTTAGATAGAGTGAGTGACAAGCTAAAACAGTCAGTGACGTATAGAGCTGTCTTAGATGGAAGACTTGTGAGATAGAGTGAGTGACAAGCTAAAACAGTCAGTGACATATAGAGCTGTCTTACATAGAAGACTGGTGAGATAGAGTGAGTGACAAGCTAAAACAGTCAGTGACATATACAGCTGTCTTACATAGAAGACTGGTGAGATAGAGTGAGTAACAAGCTAAAACAGTCAGTGACATATAGAGCTGTCTTACATAGAAGACTGGTGAGATAGAGTGAGTGACAAGCTAAAACAGTCAGTGACATATAGAGCTGTCTTAGATGGAAGACTTGTGAGATAGAGTGAGTGACAAGCTAAAACAGTCAGTGACATATAGAGCTGTCTTAGATGGAAGACTGGTGAGATAAAGTGAGTGACAAGCTAAAACAGTCAGTCATATATAGAGCTGGTTTATGTGAAAGTTTGGTGAGACAGAGTAGGTAAAAAGAAAAAAAAGAAAAAATTGACATACAGAAGTTGTATGTGAAAGGTTGACTAGACTGAGTAGCTGACAAGCTTAACCAAACAGTGACCTACACAGTTTTTTATGTGAAAGGCTGGTGAGATAGAGTAGGAGACAAAACAGTGACATACAAAGTTGTTTTATGTGAAAGGCTGGTGAGATAGAGCAGGAGACAAAACAGTGACATACAAAGTTGTTTTATGTGAAAGGCTGGTGAGATAGAGTAGGAGACAAAACAGTGACATACAAAGTTGTTTTATGTGAAAGGCTGGTGAGATAGAGCAGGAGACAAAACAGTGACATACAAAGTTGTTTTATGTGAAAGGCTGATGAGACTGAGTGACATAAAAAGGCAATGAGATAAGCTAGATCAGAATGTTATATAAACAGCTGCTGTCTGTGAATATCTGAAGAGATAGAGAAGATGCAATAAAGCCAATCAAGTTTTAAGTCAAATGGCACCAATTTTGAAATTCAAGCATATGAATATGAACATTAAAAGAACACTGTTCAACACAGTATTCTTACCAATGCTACGTTATCAGTGTCAAACATGGACACTGTTTTCAGAAGACAGAAGGAAAATAGTTATGGCAGAAATGACATGTTTACTTACTATGCTAGGTGTAACAAGGAAAGATCAACTTAGGAACGATGATATCAGGAGCAGAGTTGGCACAGAACCAATATTTAACTTTATAGGTAGACAACAAACCAAATGATTTGGCCATGTAACAAGACTGGCATCAGACAGGACACCCCAGAGAGCAACGTCATACAGATACAATGGTAACAGTCCCAGAGGTCGACCACACAGGATATGGACTGCAGAAATATAATAGACACTGAAAAGTACTTTAAACTTTATACGGGGGAATACAGGGTACAGACCTCCTGCTAGCTACACTTTATACGGGGGATACAGGGTACAGACCTCCTGATTGCTACACTTTATACGGGGGATACAGGTTACAGACCTCCTGCTAGCTACACTTTATACGGGGGATACAGGTTACAGACCTCCTGCTAGCTACACTTTATACGGGGGATACAGGTTACAGACCTCTTGATTGCTAACAAACGTGTGGTAAAGGGAAACTAATTAAGGACTGGCTAAAATTGAATGTGTTAGGCTGAAAGGTGAAGATATCACAATATAACTGTAAACCACAACACATTGTGCCAATCAGCCTTTTAGGGCAAATGAAGAAGAAGATGATGAAGATGAAGAAACACTTTGACCAATACTCCTGAATGACATTTCCTTCAGGATCCAACTTTAAGGCTGTGTTATATCAACCCAAAAAATTAAGGGGATACTATTCAGGGTCACACTTCTTGCAACAGCTGGCCAGGTGTTATATGCTAAACAATGTTGACTGACACAGACATGTTTCACAGGAAAGTTATTACACAAAATATGGTAAGCTAAATGGTGAAAACCTACATGCTTTATAACACTGATGATATTAGTAAGTGGATTCAAGGATGGTACTGATCAGGCAAACAATAATACACACAAACATACATAAATACAAACACATGTATATACACACACATATAATGCTATACAGGTGTAAATCCCTCTAGATTCACTATTTCACTATGGATAAATTTCCCTTGCTTTTATCTGTAAGAAAATATGTTTTGGCTTTTCTCAGAGAAAAAGCCAATATTTTGTTTACACTAGCACAGCAGACAGCAGTATTTTTCCCATTGATCTTCACTCAATATCAAGCAGTTCATCATACACTGAACAGTTACTGCTGCCAAATATTGTAATGCCTTCACTAATTCTTTTCTTAACTAAATGTTACTGTTTCTGTATAACAATGCAAACTTATTAATGATAAATCTGATCTCCACTTTCAAAGTACACTAATAGTCTCAGCACAACCCAGTACAAACAGGATTTGTTTGTGTGTGTACTATAATCTACAAATAATATAACAAATCTATTGTGGACACGTTTCCTCCTTTTAGAAATTTGCTAGGAAAGTGATATGTATGATGTACTGAGGTTTCTAAATGTCAAGGTATCACATTATTTATAAAATGCAAGCATGACCAGAGATCATTAACTTTCTGTTCATGTATTTGTATTACCTGTGACACTTTTGCTAGAAAAACCCTAACCTCCAGGTATGTATTTTTATTACTTATGACAATTAGTTTTAATACACTAATATTCCACAAGTTGTCATTACCTCTGTGACAGCTCTTCCTCCACACACTCAAGTAAACTCCTGATTAATGATAGTTTTTTTTTTTTTTTTTAACAAGGAAAAGAAAAAAGATAATAAAAATGAGATACATATTTTAAACACATGTTAGATGACCTGAAAAGGAAATAACTTAGTGCACTTTAATTATTCTTATAATTTTATTTTTGTATGACTGCAATCAGCTTTAAAAGTAAAGCCAACATGCATGCTCCTAGAGTATGCTGAAGATATGGTACAAAGTCCACATGTTCTGGACATGAATGGCACATTATGGTCATTATTATACTTGCTGTCTTTACATTGCAACTGGTAACAGCTGAATTTTCTAGAAGACAAAGTTGTACCTCATAAAACAATTCACTATTCACTTCTTGTAACTTCTTCTTCTCCTCCTTCATGATCACCTTCTGTAAACTCTGGTGGAAAGTTATGGTTCTTCATCTACCTCTAGACTTTATTCTTGTTCCAGAACCTGAGTGCTGCATACACATCCGTTTTACAGATCTAGCTTAATGTATGTAGTTGGTTCCCTGCACTCAACTTTCAAGGAAGCCCTCAATTAGTCGATTCATATGACATGCATTTTAGGGAGGCAGTGGGTCTATTATTGTCTTCCCCACACAGGAATTGATAACTTCAAAGACAATGTTCTTGCTGTATCTATCACAGAAGGATATTACATTAACTTTCTGCATCTGCGTCTCTGACCATTGTTGCATGGAGGAGGCACACCAGGAAGGGTATGAGTATGAAGGAAGAAGTGAGTGCAGATTGGATCATGAAATCCCGTGCTATAACTGTGGAAAACTTTTTTTAACGTGGGCAGGTTTTGCTAGTCACCTTCGACATCATCTGTGAGTCCCATGCTTCCTGATAGCACAATATAACTCTATTGTCTTGAAAGACGGAAAGGTGCACACGAGTCTGTGATAGACTCTTTCAAACCTAATCTTTTATTAATTTTAGACCCATCTGCTTGGGATATAAAAAGTTATCGTAACAAGTGACTGGGACTTTAAAGAATTTTCTTTCCTTCACGTTCACTTTTAAAATGACAGTTGGTGTGCTGTGTTACGGTTTACAGCTAGGCTGCAATATCTGCACTGTTCAGCCTTATACATTTGAGTTTGGCAAACTGTCACCTTTGATAAAAAGTTTGTTAAGGGGCAGTGGGTCTATCCTTTTTTCCCCAAAATTTGGATGGTCCTGAAACCCAAACTGGGATGAGAACAAATTAATACGATGCTCTGGTATTCATGTCTTTTAACCATGAAAAGGGTTTGCATCCATCAAATTGAGACTTGCAAAGAGACTTTCATGAAAACCCAAGCACCATCTCTACACGGTCTGCTGCAGAGTACTTCTTCCATTTTTACGTAGGGGGGAGCTGCATGGTCTCGAGGCATGGCGTCTGCCTCGAGTGCTAGAGGTTCTGGATTTTTTCACATGGACTTGTAGTAATTCCCCCTGGTCTTTGGGTAGTGAGATCGGATTCACGTGTGCATTGTTGCGCACATAAAAAAATCCATTGGCAGTTGGAAATCGAAAAGAGTAGCTTAACAGCAGTGCCTAGGCAAAATTTGGAGTTAAAAATCTACCCAAAGTATTTCAGGATCTTTGCCCGTTCTACAGAGCTAGTGCACTGTGCTGAGCATCTTTGGACCCAGACTTGAGTTAAAAGAAGAACGGAGCACTTATGGGTTACTACCCGTGTGCCACGATGTTGATCCATTGTTCAAACTTCCCTTTTCCCAATGAGGGCAGTTGTAGAGCATACCAGAGCTTCACATATGCAAAAAGGCATATTACTATAATATAATGGGGATGCAAAAAGGCTAAACCACATGTGGTGATGCTCCAGAAACAGGACTCATACTGGTCAAGACCTCATGAGTCATCTCAGAAACAGGTTCCTAACCAGGAGCCCGGCCAGCTTAAATAGCACTGACATTCTTTTCAAAATCAGAGTGCATCTGCCTGAGAAGCAAGGAGGCAACAGTTTCCACAGAAGTAAGCTAGGTCTGTGAAGCAGATGTACAAACAAAGCTCGTGTCTTGGAACAAGGCTAAAGTCCACAAGTAGACAAAAAACTAGAACTTTCCTCCAGAGTTTACAGCTGATAATGAAATATATAACTGGATTATGCATCAGTACAGGATGTATGAAACTGGTTTGAATTAGACCTAGACTGATGTTTTCTGCATAAGTCTTTTATACACATTAGAATAATCTCCACCATATGCCCAAACAAATGTAATTTTGGCAAGAAGTTGTACAACAGATAAATAGACCAGTACATAAAAGCTGTCAGCTACTAAGCAGTAGTTACAAAGCAGAAATATATATAAAGATGGAAACAGTGAAGTAATCATGGCAGAAGACTACACATGATGTGTACAAGCAGTTGTGCTGTCACACTATGTCCACATCAGTTGGCATTCACACAATAAAATGCAATACATTCTGAAGAAGTTTGAAAATGATATAGAAAAGTACAAGAAAAAAGTTAAAATAATAATTAAGTTTAACCATTAGAATCCTATTTTTTTCTTTCTTTAATCAATCTCTCTCTCTCTCTCTCTCTCTCTCTCTCTCTCTCTCTCTCTCTCTCACAGACACTCACACTACACCCCTTACATGTGAGAGAAACAGTCAGACAGATGACAGAGATTGAGAGACAGATAGGGACAGAAGGATATAAGAAGAAAGAGAACAAAAAAAGCTCCTACATAATGCAATAAATACATGTCTACAGGTACATAAGAATTATTGTCCACATTAATTAAACTCTTGTGATTGAATAAAAGAAAGCAAAGCAGAATTATAATAATATGGCAAGTTCAGCAAAGCAATCCTGTGGTACTAGCAATAAATATGTAGATCCATGGTGACCATTTTATGAGGTTGAGCTGGTCGCACAGCTATGTACTGATTTTCAAAGAATTCAAAGCTATTACTACAGTGGTTTGAACCCTAAACCAGTTAGTTTAAAGGAGAGTGTACTAACCACAGCTCCAAACCTTATATAATTTAATTTAATGTACATACTTAAAATCTGACAGGAAATTATTTTTCCCAATCATGAATATTAAAGACGGGTTCTGACTTTTTATTAAGGATCAATTCCTTGCACACAGATATTGTCATGCATGCTGCAGTAGTGTCAGGTATACTGCACTGGCTAATTTGAGTATGTGTAAGTAAAGGACCCTTTTCAAAGCAGTACACATGGGGCATATAATGCTAGTCATAATTATAGACCAACTGACACTGGGTGGGCGATGGGGTCACTATCACGCTACCCATCATCCTTTTCCAGGACTATACCTGCTACCGTTTTAGTAAAAAGTAAAAAAAAAGTAAAGGATTCTTTTCCACGCCTTTAGGCATATAGGGCATATAGGGCTAGACCTATATTTTATAGACCAACAGCACAAGATAGGTAATGTGGTCAGCATCACGCCGGCCGCCTCTACTTCCCGGGACTGCACCCAGTACCCACTCAAGGCTGGGTCGACCTGGGAGTCAAGGTCATTTCTGAAATAAAGTCCAATTCAGCCAGGGAGCTAACCCACGACCTTCTGATCCGCGGCGCGCGTCTAGCCGCTCCGCCAGGGTGATTCCCTACCATTTTAGGCTGGGTTGATAAAGGAACCAAGGTTGTCTTTGAAAAATCCAACTCCATGCAGATTTACATCTAAGACTTTTGTTGTAAAGTGTTTATGATGGTAACCCAATTTAATTGCTCCTAAGTCTTCCTCATTTCCTGTAATCTGATCTTTTAGTCTCTCTGTGTGTAAGCAATGCATGATGTTGCTTTTACCATTTCTCTAATGTTATCTTGTATTTTTAATGCCTTTAAATCTTGAAGTTTTTAATATTCTGATCTTATATTTCCTGAACATAACTCACAGATGTGTATTAAACTGTTAAGTGTTCAGCTAAGAACTAACATCACAGCTCTCGGAACACAGCTTCCTAGTCGCTACTAGCTGTAACATTCTCTCCACAGCACAATAATCTACTAGAGCCTCCACACTGTCTGCTTGCTCTTAAAGGGTCTTCTTGACTGTGTGTAGCTTGTCATGCATAAATTCACCATCATTTAGTGCAGAAACAACCAATCTGTCAGCCTGTTGATTTCCCAACACTCCTGCATACCCAGAGAAACTGTTTGGAAATAGCTAGTATAAATGCTTTTTTTTCGGGGGGGGGGGGGGGGGGGTTGGTCATTTTTTAATGTTTTATTTACAAATTATGAAAGTCCCAATAATTTAGTAAAGCATTTGCTGGAAGGCAATGACAGTAGAAAAGACTACACAGGTTAAACACAAAGAGAAAAGCTTACTTTTGGGACACATTGTCATCCAACCAAGTCTGTTTTGCTGTATCAAACTTATCTTCCTGTGGAAGAAAATAAACATGAAATAATAAATAAAATATATATGTACTGAAATATTAATAAGTATTTAAAACTGAAATGAATATTGGCAATGATTACAATTAATATGACTAAAATATGAAAAGGGGAGGGGGGTGTGGGCAGGAAAAAGACCCTGTTGGTGCACCATCACAGTATGTCAGAACATGGTGGTAGGCTCATATTTGCACGATTCTGCATTCCTGGATGATATGGTTGATGTCAGGTTAGCCATTTTATTTCTCAGATAACTGTTAAAAATTTTAAATGATTCTAGAATAAAAAAATAATTTTGAAATTCATGGTAATAAAACTGCCAGACATATTTAGCTGTATCTCATCAGATGGGTTACTACAGAGTTACATCAACATATAATGAAACACACAAATAGAATTAATTCCGCTGAAATACAAATGGTCTCTCTCTCTCGCTACATTGCTCGTCTAATTTTTTTTAAATTTTTACTTTACTTTTCTCTTTTAACTCTTCAAGTCTCTGACAAGCATTACTTTAACTTGTTCTGTCTCAATAAGTTCTTTCTTTAATTAATAAATGCTTGGATATGATAAAAAACAAATATATTAGTTTGGACAGAGTATACTAGTCTAACAAAAGTGTGGAGGAAAGAAAGTTAAGATACAGGTACAGTTAATCCCTTTCGCCAAAGTAAGAATCTGTCAATGTTTTTTTTTTTCAATTTGTTAAAAAAGAAACACATCCATACAGTTCTCGGGGAATCTACACACAGCTTTATAGTTCTCTAGGACTCTACCTTAAGAAACTAGAGGAAGAAAGGAAGAAGCAGAAGAAATTTGTAGTCCTGGTAAGTTTTAAATTAAAACTCAGCAGGTTGGAAGCAGTGAGCACAGAGCAGAAGGCGAGTGTGATGGCCACTGCGATATCACAGCCGCCAAATCATCGACATAATTTTCATTTCTTATTTTTATAGTCACTATTTCCTGCAAAGATATTTTATTAAATTTTTTAACAGTAAGGGAAGTAGTCACTAAATACAAATGGAGCAAAGTATTAACTGCTTTCTTTCCTTCTGACTACAAAAACAGGAGTGAAATAATTTTGCACCACTATAATGGCTCAATGATCCAAAAAAAAAGCCTTTTTTTTTCCCCATGCTCCTAATTTTTTTTTTAATCGGTAGATATAATCAAGCCCATTATGTGTACAGACTCTGCAGATGCAACCAGTACCAATTGTTTTTGCCTTATAAAAAATAGTAACTGACTAAATGCGCAATGAAATTTTTCGTTACTTGAAGCCTGGCTTTTGCCAGGGGGCTCTAAATATAGACGGGCCATAAATATGGCAATAATGGCTGAAAGGGGTTTTTGGGATCTATCCACGGGTGATCCTCATCCGCATGGTGGCACTCTGTGACACTGGAGGTTTATCGGTTTGTGTTATGTCCTGGTGGGGTACACCTTATATACATACATACCAGTACCAATAACAATTTTTGTGTTCTTATGTGGGACGGATTTTTCGTTACTTTGATGCCCCCTCCTGTTTGTTGCGAGTGGCCCTAATATAACCCAACCTGTGGGTTGAACAGGGTTTCTGTGACCTCTCCACAGGTGATCCTCATCCAAATGGTAGCACTTTGTGTCACCAGGTGTTTATTGCTCAGTGTGATGTCCTGGTGGGGTAAAACGTCAATCAGTCAGCCAGTACCAAAGCTGCTATGTAGGAATGATGACCCTTGCCCAAATATGTCTTGTAATTAAAAAAAAAACTAGTAAATGCCACAAAAACTGGTTCTTGCAGGGTGACGGAGTTAAGCAGATTCCAGTAAACGCATGGTAAGTTGCTTCATAGTGAATGAGGTGGAAAAAAATATGTTATAATAAAATTATCAAAAACTTACAATGTCATCATCAACTGAATGCCATGGTTTTAACATGAGGTCTTCCTTGATCTCCTTGAGTACAGACAATACCAAGAAATTGAAAAAAAAAAATTAAACATGTACTTTTTTATAATTGGTTTCTCTTCAAAAATCCTAACATCAATATCAGTCACAAAATACAAGGACAAATAGAAGCCATTATTTCTTCTGTGTTTGCCCTTTAAAAAGTCAGTTGACATGCTGTTTTATGGTTTTCAGACTGGCAGCGATATCTTTGCCTTGTGACCAAACACGGCCTTTTCAACAATTTTTAAATACTGTAATTCTTTTTCCGCATGCTTGCAAAGGTACAATGGGTATTTTCCCCCCTTACCCTAAAATGGGCCTTTGAAATCACACAGAGAAGAAGCCATTTAACTCCTATACAATTTTACAAAATATAGACTGCAATAAAACAAAGGAATATTTTTTAAACATTAGTTACATTTTTAAAATACCATGAACTCTTACAACTGTTTTATCTGTTTGTATATCTTATTTAGGCATACTTTTTTATGACGTTTGTTGAGGGATTCTGGGTCTATTCCCCCCCCCCCCCCCAATCCCCCTTTCCCCAACCACAAACAGTTACCCCATTCAAAAACCACCATGAACTCTTACCCCATCTAAAAAATACCATGAACTCTTACCCCATCTAAAATATACCATGAACTCTTACCCCATCTAAAATATACCATGAACACTTACCCCATCTAAAATATACCATGAAAACTTACGCCATCTAAAATATACCATGAAAACTTACCCCATCTAAAATATACCATGAACACTTACCCCATCTAAAATATACCATGAACTCTTACCCCATCTAAAATATACCATGAACACTTACCCCATCTAAAATATACCATGAACTCTTACCCCATCTAAAATATACCATGAAAACTTACCCCATCTAAAATATAACATGAACTTTTACCCCCTTAAAAGAAAATGATAGCTGATTAATTGGCAGGGGAAAGTGTGATAAAAGAGCAGCCTGATGTACCAGTTACGTACCACTATGAGAAAAGGATCAATAAATCGATCAGGAAACTACCAGCCCCAGCACAAGATAACTATTCTATTATGGACAGACCAGAACAAGTCATTAATCCTTTGCTTCAAAACATGTCACAACTTATTATGCAACCATATGTACACAAAATTCAAGTTAGGCATTTCAGATATATACACCTGTGGAAAGGCCCTCTAGACAGCTGAATATGTACTCCAGGACTGCACTGAATGTGACTCATTGAGGCAAACCTTTCGACCAGAAAATACAACAAAGGTATGTAAACTCTATGGACCACTGAATGAACTAAAACCAACAGTGAAATTTATATGAGACAAAACTGCTGAGACAGACAACTTATTTCATGCGAACGAAAGAAGAAGAAAAAGACAAACCCCTGTTCTATCTGCTTTTACATCAAATGTCAGCATACCACTAATAAATTGTATTTAATGAACATGCGTGTTAGGGGACAGTGGTTTCCCCCCCCCCCCCCCCCCCCCCCACCCATCCCCATGGGGGACCTGTATTCACACAGGAAATAAGCCACTTAACTGTTACTGAATTTTACAATGAGATTTAAATTGCAATGAAAAAAAAAATTGTTTTAGGACACAAAACATTCAGTATGTATTTTTTTTTAAAAATACATGAACATAAACAATGTCCAAGTATGACTAGTTTGTAATCCAACGTACCGCGATCGAAACCCACTGTGGGCTGCGTGGATTTTTATCACAGTATGGGACGTCGCAGGTCGACTCAGCCTCAAATGGGTACCAGGATGGCTGTCCTGGGGAAGTATAGACTGCCGGTGTAATGCTGACCATATTACCCACAGAGTGATGATTGGTCTGTAAAAATATGGGTACTCTTCCCATATGCCTGATGCGCCTAAAGGCGTGAAAAGGGATCTTAGCTTAGCTTAGCTCAAGTATGACTAGTGAATATACAAGCTGTGATAAGAAGAAACCCATTAATTGCTTCACTACAAATAAATGAAAGGTATATTAGCAAGTGTGGCAGAATTAAACAAAAGCAACCATCTGGAAACAAAGTGACTAACTGAATGATGCTTTCTGTTGTGGCTTGTTCTAAACTACAGTAATGTTATGCAGCCAGGAGACGACATTTATGAATCAGTTTTCTATATGTTCAGAACAAAAAAGACTTAATACTAAAGTTACTAACATATGTAACACTTACCCCTGTTTTTTCTGCTTTTACATCGGTTACTGTGACAAGTGAACAATTACATACCATTACTAGAGGATGAGAAGGCAGCAACAAATATATTTCAAATAACATTAGACAACAGATATGTACAAAAATATAAACTTATTAATAAATTCTTTGATAAATGGTGTTACAAAATTCATAAATTCTTCGATAAATGGTGTAACAAAATTCATATATTTTTTGATAAATGGTATTGCAAAATTCATATATTCTTTGATAAATGGTGTTGCAAAATTCATATATTCTTTGATAAATGGTGTTACAAAATTCATATATTCTTTAATGGTGTAACAAAATTCATATATTCTTTGATAAATGGTGTTACAAAATTTATATATTCTTTGATAAATTGTGTTACAAAATTCATATATTCTTTGATAAATGGTGTTACTAAGAAGAGAAACACCCCTATCAACATTATGTGGTTAGGAATGTAGAATCTGTATTCATTATTTCTCCTGAGAAATTTGGCCTTACCTATTTGTTATATTTGTTATTTCTATCATTACCAACATATTCATGTAGTGAACCTTTGTAGGCTTTCACTACATATCTTGTTCTATTATGTCATTATATCTAATCCTGTACAATCACTCTGATATCATGAATGGAATCTAGTCCAGCACCATTTCAGTGTCTGTCTGGTGATTCTGTTTGCCTCCTCCAAGAATGTGTCCAGTATAGTGCCATCGTCATCACAAACTATTTGAAAAATGTCTGGTCCTTTGCCAGTTCCTATGCCTCATTAAGTTATCTTCAACTCTTTCAGTATCACACATGTGTTTCCTTAACATGATCTGTTCTCAAAAGCAGTTGCTGTAAGTATTATACCCCTGTCACATTGAGAAGCCATAAAACCAACACTTCCAGTTGGGTTCAAATTCATGTGAGAGTAACATTATCAGTTTGGCTGTAGTGGCCTGATCATGAGACGCCTTGGTCTTGGTCGAGGTTTCAATATCACAGCAATCGGGTTCCCCCATACTTGCTCCGCTCCTCGCCAGTGGAAATCAAATGAAATGTTCCTCACTGTTGCAAGTGAAAAACGTGAACAAACAACTAGTCCCGGAATAATCCAGAAACATGCGCAAGCAATAAATGCGTATTTCAGTTGCTGGAGGTGCCAAAGCCAACAATCACCACCAAAAATGCAGTTTGTCGTTGATGGACACGATAGTCAGGCACGATAAGTTGGTTACTATACAAACATAGAATTATTACATAAGGTATTTCACCAGCTCACATGTAAGCAGGAAAACCACAGCTCACAGGGCTGCAACCAAGCACTAAACTCAGTAGCTCAGGCAGCGAAAGGGTAAACTGCCGCCCTTATGTGGAAACTGCATTAGCAAAGTGCATTCGGATGCAAAAATAACTTCAAAGCTAAACATTCTGCCAAGCCTTTCCTCCATTTTGGCCAAGACATGAGACAACTAACATCAGTTACTGCTTGTGGCTGCATACACGTTTAGGAGGACCCAGAATCTTCTTCTTATTTTTGTTCATCAAAGTGACACAATTGTGTTATGCCTGTTTACAGCAAAGCTGTGATATTTGCACCTTTTGGTTGACACATTCAACTGTGTTGAACATTTGTTGACAAGGTTAACTTCCCATAGAAAACAAAAAATGTCAATAACTATAAAAAGAATTTAGTGGGGTTGCACTATTATAAAAGTGGCTTTAATAACCACAATTATGATGTAATTTTCCAACTGGTCACAGTGTTAACCTACGACCAGGTCATGAATACAAAAAATTTTTTGGGTCACCAAAACCTTTTATTTTTAGACTCACAGAGATGTGACTTGACTAGTTCTCTGCTGCTTTCATGTTTACTGTTGACTACCCACAATTTCTGATGGCTTCATCTAAACGGCTAAAAGAATACCCCACAGGATAGCTAAGTAGGAAATGAGGCTAGACTGGTTCATGCAGCAACTGGATGGGTCACACTAGAGTTCAGAATAGTACATCATATTAGAAAGCAGCAGATACATGTTGAGTTGCTTGTTACTGAATGAGTTAATGCCCTGTGTCCATCATATATCATAATGTTGGTCAATCTCTTTCTTTTCTTCCAGGGACATTGCCTTCCATTACTGTTCATTCTAAATCACTATGACCCAAATTCTAAAACATGATGTCATTTATAAGCACGTTTTCTTTTATATTCATAATTTGTAAATGTTCAAAGTCAATTTTCTTCACCAACAGTATTATAAGAATCTTTTTATAATATATGACTTTACATTTTCTTTAGTGATTGTGAAATGGACCACAATTCACAATAGTATGTTGCTACAGGAAGCCAGCCCAATGTGCTATTGTTATTTTTAAAAATCTTTTACTTTTTTTTTTTAAAACTTAATGCAGACAATAAAGTCCAGTTGCTGTGGAGGCAGACATCTGCTTTGGAGGCAGACAGTTGCTGTGGAGGCAGACAGTTGCTGTGGAGGCAGACAGTTGCTGTGAAGGCAGACAGTTGCTGTGAAGGCAGACAGTTGTTGTGGAGGCAGACAGTTGCTGTGGAGGCAGACAGTTGCTGTGGAGGCAGACAGTTGCTGTGGAAGCAGACAGTTGCTGTGGAGGCAGACAGTTGTTGTGGAGGCAGACAGTTGCTGTGGAGGCAGACAGTTGTTGTGGAGGCAGACAGTTGCTGTGGAGGCAAACAGTTGCTGTGGAGGCAGACAGTTGTTGTGGAGGCAGACAGTTGCTGTGGAGGCAAACAGTTGCTGTGGAGGCACAGTTGTTGTGGAGGCAGACAGTTGTTGTGGAGGCAGACAGTTGCTGTGGAGGCAGACAGTTGCTGTGGAGGCAGACAGTTGTTGTGGAGGCAGACAGTTGTTGTGGAGGCAGACAGTTGCTGTGGAGACAGACAGTTGCTGTGGAGGCAGACAGTTGCTGTGGAGGCAGACAGTTGCTGTGAAGGCAGATATCTGCTTTTGAGGCAGATGTGCAGGCTTTGATTTTCAAGAATTCTCTTCCAGGGAATGCTGTCATTTACACAGATGGGTCTCTGATTCGCCATGTAAGAGGCTCTTGGGCTTTTATGGCTCAGGTCAGAATTACAATGGTGAAGCAAGATTCTGGTGCTGTTGCCTTGACCATTAGTAGTATGACTAAAGAGGTTATGGCACTGGCAAAAGCAACAACATGACTAGAGACACAGACCTTTTCCCATGCATGCCTTCTCAGTGACTCAATGAGTAAGCTCAGGAAGATAGAGAAGGGCTGGATCTGAAGACAGTTGTTGGAGTCTAAAGTGTTCGGGGCTGACACATATCGGTTTCATATTTGTGCAAGGAAATTAACAAGCCGATTGGCTTCTAGATAAAGCCACTGTGGAGGGTGGACAAGCTGTAGCTAGAAGAATATTCTGAATCATCTACAAGAAGTAAGACTCTTTCGAGAATCAAGTGATGACTGTGAACCTGCAACTAAGACCAGACTAGAAGAACAACATATTAAACGGGTAGGGCCTCACAAGTGCACTATGCAGGCAGCCAAAGAAGAATAAGAAACTTAAGAAACTAACACAGAGCTGGTGTCGTGAGCCGCCACATGCTGCAGGATTTACTAAGGCGGGGATCCGAGCACTTATAGACTGAAGAGTTTGGTGTGCAATGAGGATAATCTGTCGACTAATTAACTAAATAACTAACTTTGGTTGTTAAGCTGAAAATATTATTGTTCTTAAAATGTTTGCTTTTATTTGTTTGCAAGTGTTGTGCCATAGAATCTTGATGCTGTTTGGCTGACATGGAGTTATAGCTAAAAATACAAACATTTTTTTTTTTAAATCTATAATTTAAAAAAAAAAATTCTTATCTTAACTGAGTCATAACTGACAAAATAAACTGTTCTAATCCCCGAGCACTTATCAGAGGATTCATCTTCTCTGTTTTAAAGTCTATGCAGTGTGGTGTTGGTAGTCATGTCTATCCACAATCTTCTGTCTCGTGTACTTTCAATCAACTCTGACACAGATGATCCTCCATACTATGATGTTAAACTGTTTTTTTCTCTTGGTCTCCCTCTGACTCTTCTCCAACTTTCCAACTGCCATGATGTACTCCAGTTTTCTGCTTCTCATCACATGATCAAAGAATGCAGACTGTCTCTTTCTGATGTGGGCAACCAGTTCTTGTCGTGCGTCGGGAGAGGTTTATATCATACGCATATCTGTGTTTGGGAATGAGATTTCTACCAATCTGAAGTATTTTGATGATGTAAAATTTTTTTAATATAAACACATCAGCTTGATTCCAGCTGCTGGGGATTTGGCAGCAGACCCCTTTGCATTGATTTTGACAGCAGTATGGAGTACTGGTTTATCAGAAAGCAATGGCAAACAACTGAATGTAAACTTGTCTAGAAAAGTCAAAAACAGCCAAAACATTCTGGAGTTAGTAATGCAATGCTCAGTGAAAAAAAATATTCAACTAACTGTTTGATGATGTACACTGTTTCTTCTACTTCATGTTTATCAGCTGTACACTAGTGAAACGTTTTGGTTGTTTATCCACTTCTAGACTTTGGTCTTGTTCCAGAATTTGAATTTTGTATGCATATCTGTTTGACAGATCTGTTTATTTGAATGCAGACCTCTCAGGCAGATGCACTGTGACTTCAGAGAAAACAATCCCTAATCAGTCGCCTTTTCCGGCATGCATGATAGGGAGGCAGTTGACCTATTCCTTTTCCCCCCAATTGGGCCCCAGAGCCCAGATGGGAAGTATACTTTTTAATATTCCTTCTTTGTGAGAAGGAATACACCTGTATAAGCAGGTAGGTACAACAATTAAAGTCAAGTAAGATATTTATCACATCTGTGACCAGGGCAACACATGCAGCAAGGGGGTTCTTATGGTTCAGTGGCTAGGTCATTTGCCTCCAACTCTGGCAGTCATCGGCCTGATGCTGACCACGTCACCCAACAAGGTCCAATAAGTCTATAAAAATATGTCTAGCAGTATATGCCCGATGTGCTTCAAGTGTTAAAAGGGCCCATTACTTTTTTTTTTAAACTTTACTTCTGGTAGTCACGGGTTCGTTTCACAGACTGTGTCATTCATTTCATGATTGCAATTTTAGTGAAGATCCTGGGGATTGTTAATAAAGCTAGAGTTCACACTCTGTGAGATGATCACAGAATGTTGCCATTAGTCATTCCACAGTAAATGACATACAGAAACAATGCTCACCTTTTAGCTTAATACTATTGGCGGCTGCACTTGACCGAGATGTTCTATTTGAAGGTATTCTTCTTGGAACATGTTGCAAAAGCTTTGAAGCAAAGGAGAAACAACTAATATGTAAGAACGATATACTTTAAAACTAGGAACTGCAGTGGTGTAGAAATGCATCTGCCACCAACAATCATCCTGGGTAATAGCAAAGTTACAACTATTCTGTCAAGATTATCCCATAAACTTTGCACCAATCATGTAGAGAAAAGTACAGGTGACTAGCATAATGACCACTTTGTATGTGCCATGTGGTCACACAAACATATGTCCCATTATGCCAGTCTTACTGATGGCATGGTATGACATGTGGTCACACAAACATTTGCCCCCTTATGCCAGTTTTACTGATGGTCTGGTATGACATGTGGTCACACAAACATATGTCCCATTATGCCAGTTTTACTGATGTTCTGGTATGACATGTGGTCACACAAACATATGTCTCATTATGCCAGTTTTACTGATGGTCTGGTATGACATGTGGTCACACAAACATATGTCCCATTATGCCAGTCTTACTGATGGTCTGGTATGACATGTTATCACACAAACATATGTCCCATTACGCCAGTCTTACTGATGGTCTGGTATGACATGTGGTCATACAAACATATGTCCCATTACACCAGTCTTACTAATGGCTTGGTATGACATGTGGCTCATGATAATCACTAGTAAACAACGGTGACCTAAAACAATAATTAAATGTCATTGATTACTGCCTGTATTACCATTTTTGCAGTGTAGGGAGTAGGAGGAGAGGGGGGGGGGGCTTTGAGGCTGAGGATTTAAGGCAGCACGGTATGTGCTGTCACCATGGAATGTGCAGGTTAGGATTTTATTTTTGCCCCTGACAGAAAAAAGTCCACAACCTTACCTAAGATTTGAACCTCATGAGAGCCCACAATTTTAACCGTTCAGCCAGCCGATCCTTACAAATAATTAACACTGTTCTCCTAATTTGCTTTGATTTTTGAATTAATATAATACAAAATTCAATTAAACATTTAACAAATAATCAATTTTCACACCTTGAAGTGTATGGGGCATATAGTCTATCTATATCTATATCCTTTTCATGTCGCTGTTGACACATAAGGCATTCACAAGTGATCTCAACTGCTGTCGGGCTACTGCTTTTCTGCCCATGGTATCCCATGTCAGTTTGCATTTCTTTATTTCCCATTCTATTTTCTATTGTCCTTATCCAGGTTTCCTGAGGTCGTCCACGTCTCCTTTTCCCCATCTGCTGTCCACCGGAGAGCTGTTTTTGCCAGTGTCACAAGGCATTCTGCAAACATGTCCAAGCCATCTCCATTGTCTTAGTTTGATAACATTTGCCAGTGATGCACATTCTGTTTTCCTCCTCAATTCCTTATTTGTGATCTTGTTTGGCCAAAATATTTGTAGAATACTCTTTAAACATTTATTTTGAAAAGTCTAAAGTTTGTGTGTAATTCCCACTGTCATTTTCCAACATTCACTGTTGTATAATAGTATTCCTAAAATGTTGCTCTTGTATATTCTGAGTTTTGTCTTCAAACTAAAAATCTTTGACTTCCATATATTGTTAAGCATGGCAAATGCTTGATTTGCTTTGTGTATTCTTGATGTTACATCCTATTCATAATCCCCATCTGGAGTAACTTTACTTCCGAGGTAAATACATTCTTCAACTTTCTCTATTGCTTTATCCTTTAAGATATTTGGATTTTCTGTTTTGTAATTATTTTTCATTACTTTAGTTTTACTGGTGTTTATTTTGAGTACATGCCAGACATTTTTACAAACAAATCGATAATCATGTTTGCTGCCTCTACTTGCTAAAACATTTACTGCTGCCCATTTTAGACTGGATCTAGACTGAAATAACCCAGGTCAATTCTTAAAATCTGCTACAATGGGGACCTTAATCAATGACTGATCTATCATCAATGCTGCATGGAGTAGGCTGTCAGATAATGAAGAAAAAACATCTTCTAATGAAAGAAGCTTGTGCAATGGCACTTTCTCTGAATGTAAAATGAACAGTACTCCTGTGTTTTACTGAACTTGTCAGTAAACACTGTTGAACAGTAAATCTTGGAATATGGATGAAACAAACTAGGAAGAGCATGGAACCGGCAAATACGTGATTTTCTGTCATGCAAGATTTGAATTCTTTAACAGCCTGAGTAACTATCAATGACTGCCTCGAAAAATGCTATCAACTATCCTTGTAATATGATGATTAGAGGATTTTTTTTACACAGTAAACTAACTAAAGTAATTAAGTTGTTACTCTAAAATTGATGTATCTGTTGCAATAAATCACTGGCAAAGAAATATTTAATAATACAAATATGCAACCTGTCCTGTTTAAATGTATGAACGCCAAAATCTCAAGCTAACATCCTTCAAAGTCAGATACATCTGCCTGAGAGGCAAGGAACCACAAGTCTGCATAAAAATAAGCCTGTTCTGTGAAACAGATGTGCACGCAACTGTGAGGTTTTGGAGCAACACTTAAGTCTGGAGGTGGACAAACACCCAGAACTTTTTGCAAGAGTTTATAACTGGACAATGCAAAGAAGAAGAAGAAGAGGAAGTAAATATAATATACACTTACCCCATCTTCATCCTCTATTAGGTCAATGGGTTGTGAGGGATTTCGTGACTTCTCTAGTAACTCCTTAGTAAGATCTCTGCTCAAGTCACCTTGCAAAAATGGATGCTGCCAAAAAAAAAATTGAACAATAAATTTTATTTTAACAGACACCCCAGTAAGTGCCATAACTAACACTTCCAGCTGGGTCTAATTCCCTGAGGGAGTCATTTTACCAACATGGCCATAGTAGTCTGTTCATAAGGTGCCGAGCTAATAGCAGTGTTGTCATTTTGGGAGGACCTGGAATTACCATAGTTACTTAAAAAATAGCATTCAGAGGGCTTTCATCTGGAAAAGAATGGCTTAATTTACAAAAATTATGATGTCTTAATTTTCTCACTGGTCACAGTGTTAATCCGCAACTGGGTTATGAGTTTAAAACCAATGAGCTGCCATAACAGTTTATTTTTAGACTCAAAAGAGATGTGACCCAGTTAACTAAACGCTGCATTGATGTTTACTGACGACTCTACATATTTGTGATGGAAATGTACATTGTTCTGGTCAATAAAAGGAACTGTTATGATTTTTCATGTGACCTGGGTAAAATGGTTAGGTTTTTTAAAATAAATTTGTGAGGGCGGAATTCCTTAATTATGGATCACTGAGGTTACTTTTTCTAGGTCATCAGGGCAAAACAGTTGAACTAAAAGGGAGTGTTTAAAAGCAAGATAATCATAAACTTTGTTTCACCAAGTTTATCCTATATAGGTCAGTTTCTTGACATAAAGGGACTGTTTTTCCTCTGGAGGTTGCATGAAGCATAAAATTCCGTAGCTCTGGTGACAACCCTCACTATTCTCTGAAACAGCTCTATTTACAAAACAACATGCAGATCTGAAACCAAAGCATGGGGTAAATTAACATTTAGCCGCGTAATTCGTGTGAGTCCATTGTTAAAACACCAGGAACAGCCACAATTAATAATCAAAATATTCTGAAAGAGGCTAAGATACAAAAGGGAAGGAACGGTGGTCGTGTAGTTTGCTGGATGCTCACCTGCCAGTCCAACAGTCTTGGTTAAAATCAACAATGACACAGATTTTATTTTCTCCAAAACTGACCATGGCTGTCTAGTCAACCAGCTTAAAATAGAAACCAGGTAATCAGGTTGACCTGGCCTAAAAAAGAAACTATGTAATGACATGGGAAATAAAGGTGGCCTTGAAATATGAGTCTGGCATCATATGCTTGTTCTTACTTCACTCAAGGCACAGTGGCAAACTGTGAGAAATGGTGAAAACATTGAGACAACTTCTACTTCTGTCTAGACTTACTTCACACAACTTGTCTGCAGAAGGTCTTTTCTTGGGGTTTTTGGTTAAGGCAACTTTGACAAAATGCTGAAACACTACAGACCTGGAAAAATTATATCAAGTGATAATATACCATACTGTCAATGAGATGGTTCTGAACTATACAAATAAGGCAGTAAGTAATTTACAAACAAGAAAGAATGTAATTTAAGTGTTTCACAAATAAGACAGAATACAGTACTGTTCACATATCCAGGCCCAGGATTAGAGTAACTTACCTTGCCATTCATGCCTCCTTAGGTCGCTGGACCTCTCCTATGTTGGAAGAGTCATGTTTTCTTTATTGTGAATGGTTTTCTCATCTTCTCACCGCTCACTTGCGTGATTATTTTCATGTTCTGCTACCTGCGCGACGGTTCAGGAGTATGGAAACAACGATATTTGTTCTATTCCTATGCTCCTTGTAACTACTTTCTCTCTCTCGGTGGGAAGCCACTACCAAGGAACATAGAAATACAAAAACATCAAAGTTTGGATAGCCAAGAATGTTCGCACCTGAGCTGCTTCCCCCTGGAGTACTTCCAAATTGTTCACATATGCCTGCGGTGCCTGAAATACTCACAACAACACAACCTCCCACAATATTACAAACGCCAAGTGAATGCCAAACCAAGCCATATCATGACACCCCTGCAACATAAAAGAGGTCCAGCAAGCTAAGGAGGCATGAATGGCAAGGGAAGTTACTCTAATCCTGGGCCTGGAAAAGTGAACAAGACCCAGAATACATATACACCTGTAGTAAGTAATTCACAAACAAGACAGAATATAATATTAGCAATCAATAAAAATAAAAGCCAATATTTGCTCATTCTGTGTTGTTCTTGACAAAGACCGTGTAACCGAAACTTTAGACAATTACAGTGTATTTTTACTATTACTGTTCTTTACAGAATGTCGCTCCCATCGAAGCGTCACAGAAAGAAACTTAGTCCTTTGCCAGCTTTCTGCCCTGGCATACCTTATGTCATGTGCACACTCATGCTGGTCAGCCTCTACCTAGCTTGCCCAGTATCATGCCCTCCATCACTGTTTTATACCCCACTGTGATGTTTTATATAGCCAAATTATTTAGGTTTCCAAGAAAAATGCTGTTCATGAGGCGAATTTCCTCGATGTTCAGACCTTTAGGAATTTCATTATTTCTTTACCTCTTGGTCAGTGGTATTTAAAGAAGCTTTCTGTACCAATTAAGCTCAAAAGCACAAATTTTCTTCCTTAAAGATTGCGAGATAGTTCTAAGTCATTTTTACAGGGACCCTGAGGTGCATGGAAGGTATGTGCAAGTGAATTTGCTTGTTGCTTATCTGAGGAAACACAACACACCTATTTGATTTATTATATACTGTAATTTTGCTACAGTCAAGACCTCTGCATTTTTTAGCTCAGCAATTCTTAAAGATATCATGCACTTGATCTCATTAGCCTCATTTACCTTTACAATCTTCAGTGAGTATTAGCTGCTTTTCAGAGTCCTTATAAGTTGCTTTATGACCTTCTCCATCCCTTATAAATGTTTTATGATATGCTCATGGTTACTATTAGCTTTTCCAATTAGGTTTCTATTTCAATTCTTCCATCTGATTATCCTAGATATTTAAATTCACTTTGTTTTATTTTGGTGTATTCTTGTTGATATAGTGATTAGTAAGGTTTATCATCAAAGCACTCCAGACAGATCCAAAGGTACTCTGATCTCCTCTTCAAAAGCTCAAAAAGTGTTAAACAACTGAAGATTCCTGTTCTGTGTTGATTAATAAAACCTCGTGTCCGCTTAGTGAAATATTCATTTCTTGCAGCTCCAGGCTGCACCACTCTGTCCAGCACTGGATCAGCCATAGCAACCGCAGTATCTGCAAGATAATCTGCATGCTCGCTCCCTTGAACATCCACATGATCTGGCAGAAAGAAGGCTAGGGCAGCCAATCCCGAAGTGCTTAGTGTCGCAATCCATTCTTGTCTGATGATACCAGCCTGGATTTTTTTAGCATATTCACTGAGTTAAAGTATACATGGGTGTGTGAATTCTTCACTACCACGCCATGCTAATTCCTTTGTTACAGCCATAGTTTCTATTGTAAGGCTACTAGTTGTGAAACCAAAGGCGCCATTCATCTCCTGGATAGTTTTGACTGATACAGTGTTTGATTGTACCTAAATATTGTGTACAGGCAACAAAATAATTCTCTATATATCTAGGAGAAATACAAGAAACTGACTGCAGCTGTTTATATGTGTGAACTCAAATCTGACTAGCCTATTAGTGGTGATGTAAAAAAAATTTATGAATTTCGTTGTTGCTTCTCACTTTCCATTTTCTGCTGTCTGCATCTTGGACAGGTCTAAAGATCTGTTGTAAGGTTAATAAAATGCTGGCTACTTTAAATTCTTATAATATTTTTTGGTACCCTTTTAGGCTGGGTTTACCTGGGTGTTTTAATCTGCCTCAACAGAGATCTGAACAGATGACCAATGAAATGGAAAGCAAGTTTGCTAGCCACTGCACTATGGCGGCTCCCACAGAGACAGTAGCTCCTTATAAATATGGCATCATTAAACAACCTTTTTGCACTGAGCAAAGAGGGTTTAGCCAATGCTGAGAACCACTACTCGAGATGATATAAACTCTCTTTATCGATCTGGTTCTGACCTGACCTATTCAGTGATGTAAGATGGGTCTACAAACTGAATAGTTACGGCTGTGCAGGTCAGAACTTGTTACAACTAAACATACAACTACAAAACTTAAACAAGAATAAAATTACCAACAGCAAATGAAGATAACTAAACCTTACCATTTGTTTTTGTCCTTCAACTGTGGTGGTTTAAATCCACTTTTTGACATTAACAGAAGTGCCCTGCATAAATCAAAAAATGAAATATTTGACATTTCATGTATTAAATAATTTGTGGCAAGAGTCAAATTAAGAAATCTCAAAGTGTACAGAAATCTCAAATGTGCAGCTCTGCGGCTTCAACAGCTTCATGATCATCGAGTACTAGGGTAGGATTTCCGTGGTGGTCAGTTTGAGAGAAAAAAACTATTTTTCTGTTTTGGGGTAGTGGTACGAGAGTTTATCCATGGAATAGATTTAGGCCTCATCACGTAACCATGTAATATTCCTAAAGACAGCAGTAGGCATACTCTAGCCAATCCTCATTGTGGAGACGGCATACAATTAATAGTAAAAGCATTCCTGTGTGGGTTCCAGGGCCCCATTGTGGGAGAAAACAAGAACAGACTCACTGTCTTCCCAAAAGGTATGCTGTAAGAGTCAACTAATTCGGAGTTTCCTTCAAAATTGGAGTGCATCTGTATGAGAGGCAAGGAACCAACAGTCTGCATACATAAATGTCAGATCTGTAAAACAGATGTGCACATAATATTCAGGTTCTGAAACAAGTCTGAAGTCCAGAGGTGGGTGAACCACCAGAATTTTTAGCCAGAGTTTACAGCCGGTGAACGTGAAGAAGAGTAAAAGTTATTAATGCTGCTAACAGCTGTTACTCTTCAGATCACTCCTGTAATGAATCCCCATCATGGCTTGTCACCAGATTCATGGTGGGAGGACCTACTCTACTGCACTGAGATTTTATCCCATAAGGCTGAGATTCTCTCCTCATAGCAGCTGGCTGTATCATGAACATTTCCTGTATCTATTTTGGGTTGGGTCGACCAGGGGGTCAAGGTCAATTTTCTTTTCAAAACCCTCAAACTCAAGACCTTCGGGTCAGCAGGCAAGCAACTAGCCAATAGGCTTCTGTGGCTCTCTCAGTGAGGTTCATAAAGTTGTTGAAATGTTAGATCAGTATGTACAATACAGTTTCACAAAGAAACAAACTTGTGATTCTAGAACCTAACGGAAAAACTGAAATGACTAATATATTACAGTCACTGACTAACAGATATCTGTTATGAGGGCATAGATGAGGGCATAATTTTTGAAACGTATCATAACATTGTCTAACGAAGTTAAAAATGTAGCATATGTTGTTACATCTAACACAGTATTAATTAGTTGCATATCCTTTACAGGATGTTGCAGAACCAACCCCAGCATTTTTCTTTTGGCTGTTGTGGTTTTTCTAGGCAAGTTTACGTCCAGTAAGTTGCCATTGATTTCTGGACAGTCTGCTTCTCGATAACATTGTCGAAACCAACGCAAGGCCAGCAGCTGGGATCGAACCCGGCACCCCGGCATTACAAAGTGGGTTTGCAGCGCCTAAGCCACAGACACTAACATCTAACACTGTATACTGAAGTTAAAAATGAAGCATATGTTGTTACATCTAACATTGTATACTGAAGCAAAAAATGTAGCATTAGTTGTTACATCTAACATGGAAAAAATATAGCACATGCTGCAAAATCAAACACTATAACGAAAATAAAACAATTGTAGCACATGTTGTTACATTCAACACTGTCTAATGATGTACCTCATTGGGTGTAAATCAAACATAGGTGGCTGTAACTCTGCAAATTCAATGGCTGTAATACCCACTGCCCAAATGTCACACTGCTGGTTGTAACCCCCCTTACGCTCGACTGCTGCCACCTCTGGAGCCATCCTACATAATAAAGAACATGAGTTAAACACTAGCCACAAAAACTAAGACAATCTAATACGTTGTAGACAATGTCACTGATCAGAGAAAAAGCCTAATGTTAAGGACCCTTTTCCATTAGCCATAATGGGTAAAAAGTGTTTTTAGTTCAATCTACATTAAGTGGGTGTGGTTTTATAGATGTATGAAGAGAATACTCTGGAAAGAAGAAAAAAAATAGTGAATAAGCTGTTTTGAAAAAAAACTAACTCATGAAGGTTGCCCACATGTGAAGGAGAACATACATTCCTTGGTCATGTCATAAGAAAGAAGAAAACTAGAGTACACTGTGAGGGTGGAAAAGTTGGAGGGGAAAAAAGGTAGAAAGAGACCGTGAGAGAAGCACGGAAGACCATCTGTATCATAATTTGAAAGTATATGAGACAGAAGGTTGTGGATAGACATGATTACCAAAGATACAGGGCACATACTATAAGAAAAATAAATCAGTTGGTCTACAAACAGAACAGACTGTTGGCCACTCAACTGTCGAGCTATATATCCATATATGTTTGACTTCCTTTCTTTTAAGTATATATTTATGTTTTGTTTTCTACGATCACCTTCATTCAGAGTCAGTGTATTTGTTCAGCTGTAACAGGGTAGTAGAGAAGAACATGCAAACTTATCCGAGGCCACACTGACAATTGGCATTACTCCTCCACCCCCCACACACACACCACCACCACAAAGCCTTGTATCTACACAGATAATTCGTGAATGCAAGATGGATGTAATGAGTCTCCAGGCTGTATCATGAATTTTGTGTCATACTGGATGGGTGTGCTCGCTGAGCGTGCACGCACACACACACAAATGTCAATATACATAAATAATAGTTTCTTGTACATATTCATGCTGCCCGTAGTGTAAGATGATACAAACTGTCTGTTAATTTTATACTGTTTTGCTTCTTTTCAAAGTGTCTGGTGTAGTGGATATTTTGAAAACCTTTTTGAGCTTCTCAAACTAAGAATTTTTTTTTTGTCTACAAAGTCTCACTGGCTCAAAGTCAAAAGTTCTCTTCCATTTCTGTTATGGGGGTGCTTTATATTGTTCCAAGGATTGTTCATAAGCCAATATTTTGTGTGTTTTCTAATTTTCTCCAAGGTTTTTTTTTTTTTTACATGCTGCAGCTTCACCTCAATAAATAGCCATGCAGTCCTGAATATAGATTTTTTTTAATCAACACATTCACACTGTAAGATAGCTGAACAGCCTCTCTTTTGTTGTACACTGTCAGAGACTGTTGGTCCACCTCTTGTTATCTTCATCATTAGCTACCCCTTGCTCGCCTGACTTTAACTTTCCCAACTTTCCCTCATGATTCTTTTAACAAAATGATAAATACCTGTAGAATTTTTCAGCTAAAACAATTCTCAATGCACCAGTCTGAGCTTTAGCAACCTCAACTAGAAATAAACTGCACGGAAAGCTGATTTATATTAAAACCAATGAATGAAACCAGAAACAAACTAGCTCAAAAAGAAGATGACTGTATAACAAAATGTCCACTCACCAGTATGGTGTTCCGATAAAAGACTTGCGTTTACACATGGTGGCTGTTATCTGTGCAGATACTCCAAAGTCCGCTGAAACAGTGAGCACACAGTAAATCTGTCTGATAACAGACTTACGCATTGCTAAAATGCAAAAAGCTAAGATGTGTAAAAAAAAATGAGTTGTCTTGCATGACTTCAAGGGCATAAAGAGTACTTCAGAAAGATCATTCAGGTTATTTGCCTGTGTGGGTTCCGGAGCCCACTGTTACCCAACAAGCATGTTGTCAAAGGCAAATAATTAGGAATTTGCAGATAGACATGTTTGGTTAAAGGGCAGATACTGCAGCCTAGCTATAAACCACAAAACAATGTGCCAATGGCCCCTTTCAAGGTCAAACAGAGAAGAAGAGAAGATTAGCATTAGGAATATTTCTACTTTTGACCACTGCATGTTTGAGTAAAAACTGACGGATGTGAGTCATAGGCTCCCAGAAGCAAGCTTCAGCTCTCAAATATGAGCTATCTGAGAAAGGTTGTCCGAGTGACAAGAAGGAACAAAGTATGCAACCAAACAATACGTCATGATCTGAAACCCAGGCCTTACAAGTTCGAGTGGATCATTCAGTTACGAAGGTTTGGACATGTATGCAGAATGACTGAGATTCGGACACCACGGCAGGCATGGCAGGCCAAGAACCAAGGAACTAGACGACCAGGATGACACAGGATTCGCTGGTAGGATATCTGACGGTCCCTGAATGAGGGAGGACTGGAATGAAACACAGCAAAAAAGAAAACTGCTGACAGAGAAGTCTGGCAGTTGCTTTGATAAACATCTACACCCCAAGGTAGAAGAGGAGTGACTAAGTAAGTCACCAAGCAATAACTAAAGTGTCCAAGATTGAACAGCATCGAACATGATCAAAATTCTCCAAATATATAGTAAACTGTTTTAAGTTTTGACAGTCATAAACATGTTTAACCCATTGATTACCACGTTGCACATTAGGCGACGAGGCAACATTTACTTCCTGCTGCCAAGGTCATGTTAAAATCACAATTTTTGCAATGAATTTAGTTGAAACATTTGGTCCATTCATTTCTCTATTTTAGTTTGAGGGAAACAATTTCATAGTGCTTATAGTAAATTTTGATGAATTTTCATTGTGTCAGTGACGCATTGACCAAATTTTCGTCATGGTGTCAAATTCTCGAAGGGATCGTGGCGGTCATTTTTATCTGAGGGATCGTGGCGGTCATTTTCATCATTTTTCTGTTGCTGCGCAAGATATTCTTATTTTTTGGGGGATAGTGAAGGTGAAGATATTCTTGAACAGTCTGATGATGCTCACTGGCTTTGATAAAAATAACTAAATGCCATTAAAAAACGTAACTGACAGTGAAACAAAGCATGTTGCTTCAAAGTCAAGTCTAACTAAGACTCGACAGGCAGTTACACTTGCGGTAGCAAACACTAGTGTAGCAGTTTCCGATATTGATAGTTCTAGTGAAAGTATTCATTCAGAGTCTGTAGATTTTGAAGATATTGTATATGAGCCTGCACATGACGAAGATATCATTGCCGATTTTGATGCAGAATCATCATCATTATCTGATGAATTCAGGGAAGATTTGCCATACCTCACACTGGTCGATGACGGGCATAGTGATCTGCAGGGCTTTCCTGAAGCACTCCCATTTACAGAAGAAGTTGTAGAGTGCGTTTAGAAAAAGTTAAACGTCAGAATCCAGAAATAAAAAGGGCTGCAAAGGGACCATGACAAGTTACGGGTGTCGGGAATGTCAGGTGCTATTTGTATTGAAGTTAGCTATGAACTGCACCATACCACTGACAAATTGTGGCTGTAAAATTTGATAAATAAGAGTGGTATATATATATATATATATATATATATATATATATATATATATATATATATATATATATATATATATATATACACACACACATACATGCATGTATGATATTGAATTGCACATCATTTTCTATACTAATAAAACAATACAATTTCATGTTTTATTTGTCATGAAATTTAGACTATATTGTTGACAGAAAAAACATTTTTCGGTTGCACACTGACTTGCACAAAACAATAAATAAGCTGCCCAAGTTTGAAGTCTCAAACATGTTTGACTTGTAGCAGACATTACATTAAGTGACAATATCAATCACATTCTTTTTAGGGCAACATCAATCATGTGCTTTTGTACAGGATCAATCATGTGCTTTTGGCCAGTATCAATCAAGTATCATTCTTATTCTTTTTTATTTTTGTTTAAAAACAGACTTTAGCTGAAACATCATTTGTTCTGTGTTTCTTCTTTGCGATAACAGGCTGTAAACTCCGACATAAAGTTCTGGCTGTCTGTCCACTTATGAACTTGAGTGGAGCATGCATTACGGATCTGGCTTATTTGTATGCAGACTGTAGTTTCCTTATCTCTACGGCAGATGCACTCCAACTTCAAAAGATCTGTGTGTCTTTAATTTAGTCAAGTTTTCTAATTATATTTTGTGTTAATATCTTCTTCATTATCAATTAGAAATCAATTATACCTATTTTCAATACTATAACTTACCTAGTTTAATATCACCTTCGTCAGTAACTAGAATATTTGCACCCTGCAAGCAAACAATAAAAATATATAATTAACTAATTATATGAATTAACACAACTTATCCTGAAAGTAACTAAAACTGATATAATCAAATAGACCCACAAGTGAATAAAACTGTTAGGTATAACAGACACATAATTATTTTGGATTTGACTGATGTGCAATGAAGATGAACTTGTAATGCACAAAAATAATAGATATAATCAATTTGGTTACAAGAACAAAAACTGTACCACCCTTTTTCCCCCTACATTTAACTTTCAAAGACAAGCAGAGCATCATGTAAAATCAGTTTATGCATATTCAGTCATGCATACAGTTATTAATCAGTTGCATTTTGTCTGCAAATATAAAGAAATCTGGCCAATTTGATTTAACATACAGTAACGTGCACATGTTATTTACAGCGTATATGTGTTACTTCTTATAATAGTTTCACTGTAGTTATTGCAAGGAACCGCTACAGATGCAAAGGTCATGGGTTTAAATCCAAATCGAGCTCAACTTATCTCACAAATGACCTTAGCTCCTAGGTCGACCCAGTCCTGAATGGGTACTAGGTAAAGTGCTGGAAAGTAAAATCTATCAAGTGTGACAGTGTGACACGCCTGAAGGCGTGTGGTATTTGCATACCCATGACAATTAATTGAAAAATCTGTTGACTGTAAGAGCTAATGGCAAATATGAAACAAGCTAATATAGAGATAAATAATATCAAGGTACTACTGTTTCAAGGTTTTAAAAATATTCAAAGAGATATATCTTTGCCTGTGCAACTTTCTCAAATATACTTCTAGAAAATAAAACAGATTTTTTTTTTTAAATTAGACAAAAGTATTCAACCTTTCTGCCATGAAAAGCTTAACATCAACATTTCCTGTTGGGTCTTATTCCCTGTAAATGTCACGAGACCAAGCCGGCTATAATGGCTAGTTCACAAGAAGCACAGTCAACAGCAGGAGTATCATATGCCCCCACACAATTGTTAAGGAGGACCAGAACTAATTATATGTACTACAAAGAGAAATGCCTTGTGAACCCCCCCCCCCCCCCCCCCCAAAAAAAACTTTTGAGAGAAATTATGACGTCACACCACTAGTATTAGTTGACGACTGGATTAGTAGGTCAAATATGAGTCACCGTATACATTTTTTTAATGATCACACAGAGCATCTGTGGCTTGGGCGTTGTGAATGTGCTTTGTTGCGGAACACTGTTTAGAGGTACTGGGTTTTATCCCAGCTGCATCCAGCAGCCACCTAATGTTAGTTTTCAACAGCCAACAGTTCCAGTTAACAATGGGGAAATACTGAATGTGAAAACTGCTTAGTGATATTATACACAGCCAAAACTTGTAAGAGGTAAGTCAGTTAATTCTCTTCTGCATCTGGATTTACTGATAACTCGACTTATTCTGTATGAAAATTAATATTTTTATATATGGAACTGTTACAATTTGTTGTCATCTGTGTAAAACTGTTGTCATGTAATGATTTCTTCTGGAATCTGAAAAACATAGGTCAATATAAATTTTTTAGGTCATAAGGCAAAAGCAGTAAAATCAAACCTTGATATCCCGGTGCATTTTCCCACGCCTGTGCAGGTAACTGAGGCCTTTCAGAGTCTCCCGACACACAAATGCTATTGCTGGCTCAGGAAGTGGTCCAGTAACTGAAGAAAAAGAAAAATATATACATGCCAATATGTCAATTAAGATGAATGCTAATTCATATATGTAATGTCAGTTAACTTTCTGTTGTTGTTGTTATCGATCCAGCGGCGCATGAGCTTTCGCCCTTTGGCCCAATGCCATGTAGTGGAATTTGCATGTTTTCACAAGCTGTTCTTTTCCTCCGTACAAGGTGTTCCACTTGTCTGGTCTCGGAGGGAGTAGCGTTCTTCTTGTCTCACTGAGTTTTGGGCACTCAAAGAGATGATGTTCAACAGTTTCGTAGGGGTAGTTACATAGCTGGCACTCTGGGGAGTGTTGTGGCTGTATTCTGTTTAGATGTCCATTGAGTGGAGTATGTTGCGTTCTAAGTCTGAAGATGGTGGCCTGGTCCCTTCTTGTTAGATGGTTAATGCTGTCATTAGGATCAGGGCCAGACATATGTCTATAAACCTCTCTTCCAGTGTCTCCCATGGCCCATCTGTTCAACCAAGTCTCTTTGTTTATAGCTCTTATCAGTGTTTTTGCTGTCTGGAGGGTTGTCGCTGTAGGTGGTTGTTCTTGTGTTGCTCCTTTCTTTGCCAATCTGTCAGCTCTGTCATTACCTGGTGTGCCGGAGTGACCTGGAATCCACTGCATCACTATTCTGATGTTGTATGAGGTAATAAGCTGATCGGCATCCAGGATTATCTTGGCTATGTCAGTTCTGCAGCGTTCATTGCCCTCCAGAGCTTGAAGGGCAGACATTGAATCTGTGAAGATGACAATATTTTGGACCTTTGAGGGGTAAACATCCATTACAGTCTTTAGGTGGTATACTGCTGTTTCCAGTGCAATTATTTCAGCTTCATAGTTTGAACAGAATTCCCCGCATGCATCAAAAATCTCTTCAACAGATCCATCGGGATAACCTATGTAGATTCCGTAACCTGCTTTAATGGTAGCTTTAAATGCTGATCCATCAGTATAGACATGTATCCATTCTTGGGGGTAAGAATCAACGGTCTTTAGTGATGAGTTCATAAGAGCGATTGGGTCGGACTGTTTGGTTTCCTCGCCTACCAATTTAGTTTGGACTTCTGGAGCTTTAAAGCGAGCATGTGGTGGTAGGTTTTTTGCAACATTCTGAATTCCTTGACGTCTTTCTGGGAGGTGGTATCTGTCCTGAAATTTCATTAACACAGTGTAAAACCGATTTGTGCTTTATTCTTTGTTTTGGGTTCCCAGTTTTCTACAAGATGTCTATTAGGATGGTTACGATTTTTCCTAACGCATCTTTCATAAATTTCTAAAGTGGCTTTTTCTCTCCGCAACCCGAGGGGTTCCACATTTGTATGGATTTCACATGCAGCAGTTGGTGTAGACTGCATAGCTCCGCAGATTAATCGGAGGGCATTATTTTGTACTCTGTCAAGAGTCTCTAGGTTAGTTTTGGAACAAGTTGTAAGCAGTGAGTTGTTGTACTCTAATGTCAGTTAACTTTCTGTATAACCATACTTCTTCATTTTTACATCTCTTTTAACATTCTAGAAGTTCTTATTTTGTTCCTGCTGTCAAATCATATGTTAAAAAATATTTTAGACTAAGCAAAGTTTACCTCCATTTAATTGAGACGCTCTGCACTTATCAAGGTCTTGTGCATGATGTTATTTTTAGATAAGGTACATGTTATTAAAGCCACTACTATTAATCTAATCTTCTTCTTCTTTGCTCACCAGCTGTAAACTCTGGTAGAGGGTCTTGGTCCTTTGTCCACCTCATGCCAGAGCTAGAGTTTTGCATGTACATCTGGTTTACTGGATTATGTGTGTGCAGTTAGTTGCTGCTCTGGCAGATGCACTCCGACTTTGAAGATGTCCCCAACTAGTCGAATCCTACAACAGGCTTGTTGGGAAGGCAGTGGGTCTGTTAGTTTTCATCACAATAGGGCCAGGGAACACATATAGAGATAAGGATCTCATGATCTGGAAAGCTAAGCAAGGCAACAAATACCTAAAGAAGTCCGAATACTGCAGGCGTGAAGTAAAAAGGGGACAATGCATTCAAGTTCTCAGTAGAAGATTAACAATTTTGCAATGGCAGTTCTGAAATTAGCTGTAGCTTCTTAACTATACATCAGCACTGTACACTGCAAAAGTAGACCTACATTTGTTGAGATATTTTAATTTTATATATTTACATTTATATTTATACTTGCACTGCCTACTATTGCAGATGGGCTCAAAGTTCTGCAGGCAAAGTCACATCCCAGAGTAGCAGCAGATAAGAAGCACCTCCTGCATGAAGCCCTGGGTAGAGCTAAGGGTCACAGAATGAAAAGAGGAAGGTCTTGGATGGCGCATGCTGAAGACACAATCAGACATGTGAGCAGGCTTGATAATTTTGAGCGAGGAGAGAAGTGGGGTTCTTGTGTGTAGGGTTCTAATAACGTTAGGTAATGAGTGCAGAGACTGACCAGCTGGTGATGCACAATGGGAAGTTCAACAAATGATTCATGACAATTCCGCCCAAGTGATGTGATTATCTATTCAGACGGCTCTGTGTTGAGGGGCAGACAAAGTGCATGGCATTTCATAGCAAAGGCGAATGGAGGTCGCCTGGTGCAGCAAAGCCATCTGATATCACAACGCCTAGTTTGAGAATGGAGGTGGAGGCAGTCTCTGCTACCTTCGGCTGGCTTGAGAATCAGCTGTACACACATGCAGTGATTGTAACTGACTCACAGAGCATGTTGAGAAAGGTGAAAACAAGCATGCTTCGTGCAGAGTGGCTAGCATCACTTCATAAATCCCGCGTGGTGGGTAATGAACAGGCAGACAGATTGGCTGGATCTGCACCACTGGGTGGTAAACTGATACATGACAAGACAAATGTGGCCAAGGCCCTTTGGGAACAAGCAACTGAATCAGTAGAGATAAAAGATTATTATGGCCTGGAGAGAACGAGGCATCTGGGTGTAACCAGAAGGTCTGGCTGGCTTACTACCCTCTGAGAAAAGGCAAGACGGACATATAACCAGCTTGTGACCGGTACCATCATTATTGGAACTCTGTGCTGGCTGCTGAAGATGAGGACGGAGTACACATGGGAATGTCCTGAGTGCTGTGATGTCAATTCTTGACTCAAACTCGACTCAACAAAGAGTCATGCATGAAGTGTTCTAGATAAATGTTAAAAATAAGTACTCGTAATCTAACAATTTTGCATTGTCAGTATTGAACTGAAATGAACTGTACGTTAACCTAATAATGCAAAAACTGGGAGTAAAGATTGGCATGGTCATACATGAGAGGCACACCAGATGTATGAGATGTCTTGTCAATCTACACTATTTACTACTGGATGCTGTTGAGTAGAAATCTGCGAACCTAAGAGTGTGTCCCAAATGCCATATACCCAACTCGTAACATAAAAAATAAAATGATACTTTAAAAATAAAAACCTATATAAACGTAACTTGTATTTTAAAATGTCAGTTTAATCAATCAGGTGCTATCTCTATCAATGAAGGTTGGCTGCAAATGGATCTCCAACATTTTTTAAATCCTGCCTGGTTGTATACTAAGACGTTGTCCATGGATCTGATTCATAATGGTGGCTCACTGATACAGTCTATGGGTTTCAGGCTGAATATTTTGAAAAGCATAATTTAACCAGCAGTGTCAAAACATTTGGCCTGAATTGTTTGCATTGCTCTTGACATTATGTTTTACCATTAGCGTTAACTGCTTTTCCAAATGACAAGTACTGTATATCCTTTCAGTCCTCCGCACTGTTTCTAGCCATGTTAATGTTTATATATGAATGTTTTACAGTGTTTGTGCATTTTTCATATTTCAAAGCTGTTGCTCTAGTTCTGTCAGCTGTCATTTTCTAAGATTATAAAATTTAAATCTTGCCTTAAAACTAACTAGAGTAATTCAGGACTTACCATGATAAATATCTTGCATTGACCCACCTCCACAGTACTCCATAGCTATCCACAACTTTTCATGTCTGAAATTAACAATGAAAATATGTGGTACACACAAAAAATAATACATGACACTGTATCAAGTAATAATGAGTGTGCATACGATAAGCCAGATCTGTAAAACAAACATGCACGCAAAACTCAAGTACTGAAATAATACTAAAGCCAGAAGTGGATTAACAACCAGAATTTTCTGCCAGAGTTTACAGCCGGTGAAAGCGAAGAAGAAGTCAGCAGATGCACTAGCCGCTTTGCTTCTGTGGCTTAACCTGGATATTAGTCTACTCAGAGGAGGCTGAGTGCACATTTTGTTGCAATTTATGGAGCCCTGATTATTTAGATTTGTACTTTACAAATGTAGGTTTCTAAAATCAGAGCCATCAATGCTGATGTTGTGATCTGTGGCAATATAGAATGAGCTAGGGCTCCATGTATAACAAGTTTTGAATATTTCATATTTTGTTATTTGCTTCAAAAATACTGGCTCTCAAAAACTCAGGAACACGGTGAATGGTTAAAACAGATGTTCATATATAACACACAATACTAATATTGAACATTAAAGAACACATACTGTCTAAAAACCTAAATTATGTGTTTGGTGTCTGTTCCCTCTTTATAATTTTAATTTAACTGTTTATCACTATCTGGGTTTACCCCTTTTTAGGGCAGTTTGGGGGGGGGGGGGGGGGGGGGGGGGGGGGGGGGGGGGGGGGGGTGCTCTGAGCCTGAAGGTTGGGATGTTTAGTATAGTAATTAAAGTTTTTTAACAGATTGAAGTGGTCAGTTTCATTTCAGTTTTTCTTTAGTCACCTCTAGCAACATGTATGGTAAAAGTAAAGTAAGTAAAGATCCCTTTTCACGCCTTTCGGCGCATCGGGCATATGGGCAGAACGTCCCATATTTTTACAGACCATCAGCACTGTGGGTAATGTGGTCAGCATTACGCCGTCTGTCTTAAATTTCCCAGGACAGACCATCCTGGTACCCATTTTAGGCTGGGGCGACCTGCGACGTCCCATACCACGACAAAAATCCACGCAGCCTGCAGTGGGTTTCGATCACAGTATGCTGGCTTACGAGTCGGACTCGCAACGCCTTAGCCACGGACGCCGCAACATGTATGGTAACTAAGTGTTATTATTCTTTGCTTTCTTTACAACCTACCTGATGATTCTAGTAAAAAGGGCACTTCACCCTTTACAATATGCTTGTAAAGGCAGCCTTTCACACCATGACACATCTGGTCGATTGCTCTCTATAAAATGGATGGCTGTTCCAATTATCAAGCGGCTCACATCACTTCAAAAGCGCGCTCAATTGTTACCCGCCCCCCTCCTCCTTCCCCCACCACAACATCTATGGTTGTGACGTGGTGTTAAGCATGAAGTAATGGTGGTGGTGTGGTGTTAGGCATGAAGTAATGGTGGTGGTGTGGTGCTGAGCATGAAGTAATGGTGGTGGTGTGGTGTTGACCATGAAGTAATGATGGTGGTGTGGTGTTGACCATGAAGTAATGATGGTGGTGTGGTGCTGAGCATGAAGTAATGGTGGTGGTGTGGTGCTGAGCATGAAGTAATGATGGTGTGGTGCTGACCATGAAGTAATGGTGGTGGTGTGGTGCTGAGCATGAAGTAATGATGGTGGTGTGGTGCTGACCATGAAGTAATGGTGGTGGTGTGGTGCTGAGCATGAAGTAATGGTGGTGGTGTGGTGTTGACCATGAAGTAATGATGGTGGTGTGGTGCTGAGCATGAAGTAATGGTGGTGGTGTGGTGCTGACCATGAAGTAATGGTGGTGGTGTGGTGCTGAGCATGAAGTAATGGTGGTGGTGTGGTGCTGAGCATGAAGTAATGGTGGTGGTGTGGTGCTGAGCATGAAGTAATGGTGGTGGTGTGGTGCTGAGCATGAAGTAATGGTGGTGGTGTGGTGCTGAGCATGAAGTAATGGTGGTGGTGTGGTGCTGACCATGAAGTAATGGTGGTGGTGTGGTGCTGAGCATGAAGTAATGGTGGTGGTGTGGCTGCTGACCATGAAGTAATGGTGGTGGTGTGGTGCTGAGCATGAAGTAATGGTGGTGGTGTGGTGCTGACCATGAAGTAATGGTGGTGGTGTGGTGCTGAGCATGAAGTAATGGTGGTGGTGTGGTGCTGAGCATGAAGTAATGGTGGTGGTGTGGTGCTGAGCATGAAGTAATGGTGGTGGTGTGGTGCTGAGCATGAAGTAATGATGGTGGTGTGGTGCTGAGCATGAAGTAATGGTGGTGTGTGTGGTGCTGAGCATGAAGTAATGCTGAGCATGAAGTAATGGTGGTGGTGTGGTGCTGAGCATGGTGGTGTGGTGCTGAGTATGAAGTAATGGTGGTGGTGTGGTGTGCTGACCATGAAGTAATGGTGGTGGTGTGGTGCTGACCATGAAGTAATGGTGGTGTGGTTGCTTGACCATGAAGTAATGGTGGTGGTGTGGTGCTGAGCATGAAGTAATGGTGGTGGTGTGGTGCTGACCATGAAGTAATGGTGGTGGTGTGGTGCTGACCATGAAGTAATGGTGGTGGTGTGGTGCTGACCATGAAGTAATGGTGGTGGTGTGGTGCTGACCAGTAGGTGCTGTTTTGTCTATGAAATGATGGGTCTACCACCAAATGCCTGATGCACCAGTAAGAATGCTGTAAACTAATTAAGGATTTGCTGAAATAAGATGTGATATGTAAAAAGGCAAAAATAATACAGCCTAGCTGTAAACCACAACATAACATGTCAACTCCTATTTAAGGGTGAAAGCAGAAGAAGAAATATATAGAATAAACAGTGTTTTTTTTCCCGCCTGTTTAATTTCTTCAATGTAATACCGCACTCAGTATACAAACTTTTCGTATCCTGTGTTGAGATCTAAAGATGAACCGAGTTGCGATACAAACTTTGTGAAATATGAACCACAGATAGGAACAAATTATGTTCGTGAGTCCAGGTACCACTGTACTACCAATAACAAATGTACAGAATGGGAGAAGACATGGCAAGACCTTTGTGACATAACAGTATGATGATGATGAATACCAGCAATACTGCACAAATAACACAATCAATGAGAACAGTAAAATAAACATGATTAATCTTACCGCAAATAACTGCCAAAATATGCAACAATATTTTTATGCTTGCAATCTTTCATCACTTTAATCTCCTGTTGAATTATTGCAAAATCATCACCTGAAACAACAAAAATACATCAGTTAGTTCCCATTATTTATTTTCCTCGTGGGTTCTGGAGCCCTATTTTGGGGAGCAATGAATAGACCTGCTGCGCCCTAACATGTGTGTTGTAAAAAGCGACTAATTAGGGGTGTTCCTTTGAAGTTTGAGTGTATTTGTCTGAGAGGCGAGGCAGCATAATAATAAGCCATACTTGTTAAATTGATGTGGATACAAAACTCAAATTCTGGAACAAGAATAATGTCCAGAAGTAGACAAACAACCAGAACTTTCTGCAGGAATTTTCAGCTAGTGAACACTAAGAAATGTGGAGTTCTTCATGAGGGAAAGCTAAGACAGACATCTGAAATAAGAGCAGGTGTGAGACAGGGATGTCTTTTGTTGCCTCTCCTATTTTTACTGGCAACAGACTGGATTATGGAGACAGCAACTGCTAATACTAGGAGTGGAATTCAGTGGACCCTTACAAAACAGCTTAATGATGTGTACTTTGATATTTCTCTTCAGCCCCAATCATGAAATCAGACACAAGACAAATATACGTATTACCTAAAAATTCTAAAGGAAAGACACAAATAATTAGATTAAATCAGACAATAGTGCTTTCTCTTAATGGCATCCCACTCCAAGACATGTAATTTTGCACCTTTTTGGGCAGTAATGTAGATAAATGTGGGGGAACTGACAGATATAAAATATGAATACAAAAGGCAAGAAGAGCACTAGGAAATTTGTGGAGGTCAAAAGAAATAAAATTTAAATTGTTATTCTATTGTCAAATCAGTACTGTTGTATGGAGAGGAAACACAGAAAACAACTAAGGCAATTATTAAAAAACTTTACACATTCATTAGCTGGTGCCTGCGCAGAACAGAGAGAATTAAACGATATGATAGAATCACTAATGTAGAGCTTTGGGAGAGAACTCAACAAGTTCCAGTGGACCTAGAGGTAAAAAAAAGACGCAGGTGTTAGATAGGACACATCTGAGAACAATATATCTAAAATGTCTTTGTAATGGAACCCATAGGGTCATAGAAAAAATGGAAGACCAAAACTCATATACAGAAGAGAGCTAGAGAGTGAAGTTAAAAAGATGGGAAGGACATAGGGAGAGCCACATGCAATGACAAAGGATAGAATGACTTGGCGTGAGTTGGTTGAGGGTCTATGCTCTATTATGGGAGAAAAGGCAGAAGAACACCTGAAGAAGAAGAAGAAATTATTTTTTTAATAATTGAATGAAAGATGTCAGTTGTATCAAGTAGAATAGTGTTTAAGTGTCCTAAACTGTTGTTATGCATGCAAAATGTGACAACAAGCAAACAAGCTGAAAAAAACAACCAATGGCAGCAGAAATGTGGTTTCTGAAAAAGATACAAAAAATGTCAATGGTGAAAAGAAAAAGAAACATGACAGTCCTTTAAGAAAGAGACGGATTTGAAAAACCAAATATAAAAAAACAATGGCGGGCAAGATTTGTGGACATGTTACAAATCAGATTAAAAGCCCATTTCAATGCAGGTCCAATTTTTGGACACGTAAAACTAACGTACCTTTTCATAGTACTGGCACTTAGGAAACATGAACTCAACATCATGCCTGCCACTTTTACTTCCCAAGACATTTCCTGTAAAAAATTATGGTTGGTTGACCTGGAAGTCAAAGTCAATTATAAAACTGTCTCATCAATACCATACCAATTTGTACTCAATACCTTCAGGACAAAGGGCATGGATTAGCCACTCTTCTACTGTTGTTTCCAAGACATGTTATACGGGGAAAGGGGGGGGGGGGGGTGGATTTTTAAAAATTTTTAATAACTGCAACTATTTGTTTAAAAAGAGCACCAAAAATACCAAGAGATAAATGCTTCAACTGTGTCACTACATGGCTTGATGATTTTAGTGACAGTGTAAGATGGTCAATCATAACTGTCTATACTTATAAGAATAGTGAACAATGATGATAATGAGGAGGGCAGAATCAATTGGTTTGACAAAGTGCTATAATGATTCTTCATAAACCATGATAAAATACAACAGCTATCTCTTTAATGTAGGGAAAAGATATTTAAAACAACATCAAAGTACACACAGAACACATATATACTTTAAAACATTTACAAATGAATACCTGGCTCAAGCTTGATCACCTTGATAGCTGCAAACTCACCAGTAGTAAGAACTCTGGCCTATATAAAAAGTAGGAGAGGGGGGGGGGGGGGGGGGATCAATTGTCAGAATAAGACTAACCTTCACCTTTCAAAATGTACTTTAATTCGCTCAACTCTAGTGATATGTCACAGAATGAGTCTGAGTCAACTGCAAGCTACTGTGTCATTTTTCATCAACATTTATTTATTCAAAATACTCTTTCCTGAATGCTGAATTCTGAAATGACATCATAGCGCTAGGGACATTCTCATAAGCACTCAGTTCTCTTCTTCAGCAGCAAGTGCAGTGTTCCAATTCTGATAGTACCAGTAGCTGACTACATATCTGTCTTGCCTTTCCTTTGAATGTTGAGCATCGAACAGGTCCTTTAATCTTCTTCATTACTCTTCCATTATCTTCTCTACTCATCATCTAAAATGAAAACTTAAAATATTGTAAATGATAAGCGTGACATCTACTATGACTTAGATTTAACTAAGCAACAGTTGAGCCATGTGTCAACCTTGCTCTCTTGTCTATGTTCACTGTGATCTATCAATATGACAGTGTAGCATCGGCTTGAGAAAAGGTCAAGTGTACAGGATGACCCTAGTGTCTTTGGTGCCTTGCCTTGCTCAAGCTTTCCAGTGTTCTTGTGATACGAATGCAGTGACCATGCCAAACGATGCAAACAAAAAGACTTTGCTAATTCTAGTTTTTCAAAACATTTTCATACAATTTCATTTTCCCAGCAATCAAGTGTCTCTGTCAAGCGCCACTTAAATTTTTAAAAATATGAGCCCAGCATCATGTACCCTAAGCTAAGACAGACATATGAAATAAGAACAGGTGTGTGACAGGGATGTCTTTTGTTTCCTCTCCTATTTTCACTGGCAACAGACTAATGTGATATGCTCTCTTCAGTGTTCTTCAAGTATGCAGAAGAAAAAAAATTTTTTTTTTTTTTACTGTAATATAGCACTGCAAATACTCTCTGACTAAAATTTTAAGTGAAAGAGTTAGCCACACACAGACAAAATTTGTTTTTAACTCTGTATGCACTAGATGCTACTTTAGTGAGATTTGAATCCATCCCGTTAGGACTAATCACCATTAAAGTGGCGCTTGACAGAGACACTTGATTGCTGGGAAAATGAAATTGTATGAAAATGTTTTGAAAAACTAGAATTAGCAAAGTCTTTTTGTTTGCATCGTTTGGCATGGTCACTGCATTCGTTTCTGATTTGTTTTAAAGCTATTCTGTGCGACACAATTTGTTGTGTGATTTTCCAAAAATTGCAGCTTTCAACTCTTTAACATCCACTGCAGATAAAGCTCAAAGAATGACAAAAACTCAGGCTTAAGATCTTATGCAGCGGTTGTTAGATGAGAAGGTAATCATAGTAGTGATGATAACTTAGATTCTGAATTATCTGACAATGATGTAGATCATGACAATGGTCTATTATTATAGACAGCAAAACTAACGAGTGGTGGAAAAAGGTTTTGATGTGGATTATGGAAGTGACGCAAGTCAATGCTCACATCTTGTACATGTTAGCTCACTCTGCTGCCCCAAAGCGGATAAGTCTCGCACAGTTCAAAGACGAGCTCATCAAGCAACTAGCTGCTCTCTCAGCTCATGAAGTTCCAACAGACATGATCACTGTTGTGGCTCCCAGACCAGGCAGAAAGCCAGCCATGTCTGACAGTGTTGTTGGGGCAGCTTATTTAGTTAATTATGGTGGTCCAGGCAGGCAACGACAATGCGTACAGTGCAGCGAGAAAAAGATTCAAAAACACAGCAGTTATGCTGACAAGCCTCACCTGTGCTCCAATGCATGTTTTAGGGCATATCACACCAGTAAGGTGTTTGTATTCAGGATCAACATCATCATCATTGTCAGATTTTTAAAAGTCTTAAGTCGTCACTGGAACTTTCCTCATAATTTCATGTAAATATATTTTTTATTTGGCTGTTCTGAAATTTGATGTGTCACATAAAATAGTCACAAAATCCAAAGTACGCAGAATAATTGTCGTAAGTAAAGACTAGTTGACACATAATTGAATAGAGAAGGCACTGAATTCTTAGAAAAAGTTAGTAGTGTTAGTGAACAAGTAAAAAAGAAAGTAAAGCTCAACAATGCATGTTGAACAAATGTTCCTGTGTCTAACATCCTCTAAAGTGGTGTAACTGTAGTAAATGTTTGATGCAATACTGATCCTTAAATAGTCTACATGCATTATGCATTCATTTCTCTTTAATTTGATGTATTAAATGTCACTATACAGCCAATAGTTTTTAAGCAGGAGGGTTTTGGCCTTGTTATCTTGAAGTAAAAAAAATTATGCTCAAAATTAATACTGTTCAAATCCAGAAAAAAAATGCCACCCTGAAAGAGTTAAAGTTTAAATTGGGTGCTATTTGATTATCAGTCAATCAGCTGCCATCTCCACGGCTAAGGTTGACTGCAATCGATGGATCTTCTAAACACTTGTCTTGTTTGTACACTCTCTCAATTCGCTGTTTGTCTATCTCTTGATGTTGTCCTCTCACTTGTATTACTATTTTTGTCTACCTGTTGCTCTCTTGTGTTCGACCTTGCCTCCAGTATGGTTTTTATAAGGTGTTACATCTTTTAATATGGCCATCATATTTTAACTGTCTATTTTTTTTTTTTTAAATTTGCCTTTTAGTTATTTATTTCCCCCCCCCCCCCATTTGCAATCTATCTTTCTGGAACCTCTGCGTTTGGTTGTTTCCCCCCCCCCCCCCCTCCACCCCCCAGTAACTACGACCTATTGTTCTGTATATTCACATTTCCAAAGATTCAAGTTACTTGTTCACTGTCCAAGTTTCTGCACCATACTCGCATACTGCAGGATTAAGTTTAGATTACATGTTTAAAGTGCCGTTTATCTCTCTAGTGGCTAGTGGTTACTAATTTTCCGAAATTTTCGTATCTTACTCACTACTGAAAATAGTTTTAGTTTAGCTAGCCATTCTTCTCTTCCTATTATTCTGTATTCTCATTACTGTTTTTAGTTTTTACATGTGTCTGACTGTGCCTTTTCTGTAACTAAGTTAGTTAGCTACAAAGAACTGTTATCAGTATGAGTATCACATCCATATCAGTCAGTGTAGATAATTCTTGCTGATGAGATTCCATGGTAACTAACAAATGACAATCAAATAACACAACAAACCTTGTAAACATCGCCGTATGTTCCACTTCCGACTCTTTGAATTAACTCAAAGTCGTCCTGTGGATTCTTTCGTAAAATGTCTGCAGACATTTTGAAAATGTTCGCCTAGCGGTCTCCGGTGAATAGAGGGTGAGTCGCTATATAACAGTGCATATTTGGCATTACTAAACAATAATAGAATCAACCCCCGTAAAGTTTCTCTGTAACTTTGAAGCTATGTTTTCTTTCCCATTAGCTTCCGCACTTGCGCAGAAAGTTCCATCGTTATTTTTACGTTTCGACTTCATATTAAACAATTTAAAATCCAACAGTTGATTCACGACTATTCACACCCAAATGATCTGATTTTCTATACAGATGGCTCGGTGCTGAGAGGAAAGAGAAGTGTCCGGGGGTTCGTAGCGAAAGCCAATGAAAAATCTTTAGTGCAAGACAGCCTAGCATACGACATTATAACATCTAGCATGAGAATGGAGTTGGAAGCGGTAACTGCAGCTCTCTGGTGACTAGAGAACAAGATACATACACATGTAATTATAATAGACTCTAAAGGCATGCTGAGAAAGGCGAAGACATGGATGCTTCGAGCAGAGTGGCAAGCTTTACTGGGAAGGTCACGGGTAGAGATGATACTCTAAATCTATGCCGGTGTAGTCGGTAATGAACAGATAGACAGATTGGCCTGACATGCACCACTGGGTGATGAATTGATACATGACAAGGCAGATATGGTCAATGCCCTTTAGGAACAAGCAACGGAATCAGTAGGGAAACAAGATTATTATGGCCTGGAGAGAATAAGGACATTTGGTGTAACCAGAGGGTCTGGCCGACTCACTACGCTAAGAGGAAAGGCAAGACGGACATGTAACCAGATTGTGGACAGTACCATCAGTATTGGAACTCTGCGCTGTGATGTCAGTTCTTGACTCAATTCATTAAACAATTAAAAATGTTAAGTAGTTGAAATAATATACACAGTTAACCCCCCCCCCCCACACACACACACACACACACACACACACACACACCATCCTGCAACAACAACAAAAACACACACACACAGTATCAGTTCAGACAGAGTATGCTATGAAGACTTTTCTAAACTAACTGACGAAGAAGTATCAGAACTGTGCAATGAATACAATAATAACATAAGGACAGGCACAGAAATGAAACATACAGTAGAACCTCGCTTAACGAGCACCTCTCATAACGAGTAATTCGCATAACAAGCAAAACAAATTCATACACATAGACAACACTACGTGTTTGCATTTCCTTTCATACTTATCCTTGTATGCATGCCCATTTCTCATTCCTTACACATGTATTCTTTTTCATATGTGTCTACCAATGCTTGCATAAATGCACTTACATTCATGAAAAACGTGTATATCTACTGGCAGGGCCACCCACACTTCAATGTCTTGCGTGTTATTTATTGTGTCGCTAATGTCTGTAATATCGTCTGGTCGTGTCACTTTTCTTAGTTATGTCCCGTTTCTGGTATGTGACCTGTCCGTTACGTTCTTATCATGTTCTGGTGGATGATGTGTGCTGATGAGGTTCTTGCTAGCGTACACACTTTACTCCATTTATTCTCATTAATTAACAGGTTCGCGAGATTTCCGCAGAGCTTGCTTGCTCCTAGTAAAAGAAAAAGATAATTAGATCTCCTTCAGACTTGTTCAGCTATGTAGCTGATGCCTATAGTTGCGATCGTTATTGAGTATGGTTTTGTTCGAATACGGTTTCCTTCGGTTCCACTTTGTTGTGTTGCTCTAGACGGTTTGATTGATGTTGCTTCTCCCTTTTAAAGAGTTGTTTATACCTGGTGCTGTTGTTAACGGAGGCAAGGGTCTTCTATTTCTTTATTGTGTCACTTTGTTTCGTTCCCAAATATGTCAGGACATATCTGGATATTGTATTTTGATTCTATCCTATCCTCTCGTCGTCTTGCGATTCCTTCTTTTGATTGGTTCTTTCTGGCTTCTGTTCTTCATGTCTCTTTTTTTTCCGCTCTGTCTTGGTATGATCTGGGTTTCTCTGATCTAATAATGCTTAGTCCTTACAAGAAGTTTTGTGTAATTTTGTCTTTCCATCTTTGCTTTTGTTTCTCTCCTTCTCAACTTTGTCTGGCGTCTTCTGTGTTGCTTGACGTTTTGTGTTTGGCTGGTAGGTGTCAGTGGATGTTTTCTTCTCCGTCGTCTCTCTCATCTCTTCCCTCGGTCTCTTTCCGTATTGTGCTTGTTTTCTTCGGTCTTCTTTGGTTTTGATGCTTCCTGGTGGAAACATTCTGTTCATTTCTGCATTGTATCTTTCTTCAAGTTCTTGCTGCTTGCCAGTAGACTCTTTCGGTGATGTTTCCTTTGGTTTATCGTCTATTAGCTTTTCGCTGTTGTCTTTGTCTATTTGGGGTTGCATGGAGCTGCTGCCTTCACGGCTTTCATCCTGCTTTTTCTGCAATTCCTGTAATGCTGCTATTGTTTCTGCTTTTATGTCATTAAGTGTTTTTATATTGTAGTCCAATATTTCTCTATCTCCTTCATCTCTAAAGGTATCTGTCTTGCTTGGTCGTTAACTTCTGGCGTGCATTTCTCTGGAGTCAACTTATTTGCCTTTAATATCTATTTATATTTAATATATATTTAATATCAATATCCTGGGGTAGGAGCCTGTCCTACTACTAGGCGCGTCCACCAGGTGGCGGATGGTGGGAAGGCCTCTAGATATAGAGGTTAGCCACGAATATATTGAATAAGTGGCCGTGGACCAAAACAGGTGATGGTCATTGAGAGGAGGCGAGTTAGTTGGTGGGACAGCTAACTCTATAAAATACCTCAAAACTCTACGACATGACCATCGGCGGGTAAGAGGCGCCATAACCTCTCCCCCCTGCTGCCTTGCACGGTAAGTCAAAGGCTATTGGAGTCAAACCATATACAAACCGGCGGAAGGCAAGGGGAAACCACCGCTGTACTATCCCAAGAAAATCATGCCTCAAAATAATACGTATTCAGATAACGACGTGAATGGGGATTCCGGTGGAATCACCTCGTCCGGTAGGGAGCATCGTGTTCTACGGGTGATACCCGACCGTCATCCAGCTACTGTAGAAAAAGTAAATGGTAGAAACATCATGAACATTGGTACATGGAATGTCAGAACACTCGTACAAAACGGAAAACTGGATAACATCAAGATGGAAATGAAGAGAATGAACATCAACTTACTAGGAATTAGTGAAATGAGATGGCCAGGAGCAGGGGAAAAGTATTCAGATCAGCACAGAATTTTCTACTCGGGTGGGAAGGAATATAGTAAGGGAGTTGGTATTATTTTGGATCCAAAGAACTCAAAAACTGTTAAAAGATTTTGGACAATATCAGATAGAGTACTATTAGTAAAACTTCGCGGCAGACCGTTTGACATCAACTTAGTACAGATTTATGCCCCAACAGCATAGAGTTCAGAGGAAGACGTTGACGCATTTTATGATGAGTTAGACATGGCTGTTGATCAATGCAAAAATTGTGAAGTAACAATGGTACTTGGAGATTTCAACGCAAAAGTAGGAAGTGAAAAGTGTACGGAATAACGGGTGGCTATGGACTAGCAGAAAAGAATGTGAGAGGTGACAGATTAATAGCATGGGCTGAGTCGCGCAGCATGATAATAGGTAACACCTGGTATAAACACCATCCTCGAAGATTGTGGACATGGAAAAGTCCTGGTGATAATGTCCGCAATCAGATTGATTATATTTTGATTTCAAGAAGATTCCAGAGCAGCTTAGTTGGAGCAAAAACTAGACCAGGGGCAGACTGCTTTAGTGACCATGTTCCAGTTGTAGGAAAAATTAGAATAAAACATTAGAAAAACACCACAGAACATCAAGTTAAATTTAGGAATTCTTAGAACGGATAAAGAAATTAAGGAACAGTACAACGTCACTGTACAAAACCGGTATAATGCAATGGAAATTATACAGACTATTGATGAACAGTGGTATATGTTGCGTGAGTCAATTCAGCAGACATCAAAAGAGACAATCCCACCAACCCATACAGTTGCAAAAAAGAAATGGATGTCAACCGAAATTCTGCAGTTGATGGATAAAAGAAGGAAGAAAAAAAATGATAAAGAAGAATACTCTAGAATACAAAAAGAAATAGTGAACAAATGCAAAGTGGCTAAAGAAGCCTGGCTGAATCAAATGTGTACAGAGATTGGGGAAAATCACGGGAAAGACTCACATTCCATGTACCAACAGATAAATATGTTAACAGGAAAGATGACACGTAACAGCGCTGGATGTTTGAAATCAAAGGATGGTGACTTATTAATGGGACATAGTAATATAATTAACAGATGGACAGAGTATATAGGGGAATTGTATGATCATAACAGACCAGACGCAGAACTGCAGACCAACAATGATGGTCCACCAATAATGACTGCAGAAGTTGAGGATGCAATACATCATATGAAGAAAGGAAAAGCACCCGGGCCAGACAACATCTCACTGGAAGAAATCGAAGCACTGGGAAATTTTGGAATTGAAATAATAACTAAACTTTTAAATGATATTTATAACATTGGGTATATTCCAAATGACCTTTTAAAATCCATATTTATAGCTCTGCCGAAGAAATCAGGCACTTTAAAATGTGAAGACCATCGCACAGTGAGTCTTATGAGTCACATGACTAAGATTTTACTGAGAATAATTATGAGAAGAATAAGAAACAAAATTAAACCAGAAATCAGCGATGAACAATGTGGATTTGTAGAAGGAAAAGGTACAAACAATGCCATATACATACTAAGGACATTGTCAGAAAGAGCTATAGAAGTAAAGACTGATTTGTACTTATGCTTCATGGACTATACAAAAACATTTGACTGTGTGAAGCATGAAGAAGTAATCAAACTGTTAGAAAAATTAAACATTGATGGGAAAGATCTAAGAATAATAAAGAATATGTATTGGCAGCAAACAGCAGCTATAAGAATTAACAACTGTTTAGGTACATTTCAAAGCATAAAGAGGGCCGTACGACAAGGATGTGTACTTTCACCTGATT